TGGCAAAAACTCCAATGTGACTGATATTAGAGTTGACTTCCTGCAACACAAAACAGTAACAAGTGGTTGTTTAATCAAATAATGTGTTTTTAGATGAATAATATTGAATATCAGATTTATATTTTTACTAAAAACCTTGTAACATAAGAATTACCTGTTGGTTTTTTCTTACCCCAGCCTGGTCCCATCTTACCCCAATGGGGTAAGATGGGACCAGCTCACTTTTTTTAATCTCTACAGAAAACTGTGTTGTATGCAAAAAGTCTGAGTTATAGCTTTGAAGCACATGGCACAACCACACCTTGTGATAAGTTTAGGATTTTTTAGTTATTCATGGTATAGATGCTACATGCCTGTTAGTGATTTCGGTCCTGTCTTACCCCATCTGACTATATAAGAGGAATAAAGTTTGAATTTAATTGACTAACATTAATAATTAAATTATATATATTGCATCTACAGTAAACTTAATTAGAATGTGTTATGATTATTGTTAGTATTGTTTTATGTAGGTATATTTGTAATTTATTTTTGTGATGTGGAAATATTCCTGTCTCATGTTAAACTAATTTCAGAAGGATTACCATCTCCCTGGCATGCCTTTGGATACTTTCCAAAGCTTCAGTTCCTATTGGGCTACAAACGGCGCCGTCTTATGCCGCGCGTCATGGGCCACGCTCTACCCCTTCCTGTGTCAGCGCTCTGTTGTCGACTGGAGTGCCAAAGCTTTGAGAGAAACATATGAACTCATGCCGTGTCTGCAATGGCTGTCATGCTATCACGATGTTGATGCTTCAACGGCATCCTTAAACCTTGTTGATGAGGGAGCCTGTGAAAGAGAAGTTGACAGTGAATGTGGTGTTGAATTGATCAAAGTTTATGATCGAAGCCTGCTGCTTAGAAGTGCTTATCAAAAATTTGTCATATTTCGATACGTCATGCACCAGCTGATGGTTTACTTCACTGAGGTGTGTGGCGTGTTAATGGATAATCAACGAGAGTTCTTGATGTCAAATGACTTCTACTGCCCCTGCATGGAAAATTTTGTTGCTGAAAGCACGAAGCAAGACCCTTGTGTGAGACACATTGTCGCTTGGAGGCATCTCAAGCAAAACAAGACGGCCGGTGTGAATGGTGTTGCCAAAGAAGAAGTTACGACTCCTGACAGCAATGCTAATGAGGATACTGGCAAAACACATCTTGAATCATGCAGTGATGTCAATAATCACAACGATTCACAAGCAATATTTTGTGAAAACCAAATAATTGAAGAGCAATCCGGTTATTCAACTGAGGCTGAGGCTCTTACCGATGGCTGTTCACAGCAGAGTCTGACTCAGGATACTCTTACTGATGGAATAAAATTCATGCAGATAGGCCAAGAAGAACAAAGACAAGAAACCAGTGACAATAATGGCAACAGCTGTGATCGCAAGCCACATATCCAGGTAGATAGCTTGACCAAAGAAACTCGCCGCCCATCCAAAGCACAGCGCAATGCGTTGAAGTAAGTTGCTTTATTTTACCTGTGGTGCACTCTAGATATACAACGTTTTAGATCTGAAGATATGATGCTTTTGTGATATTTACTTGCGAGTTACTCTTTTTTAAATGCTGGTGTATTGAAATATTGCCGGTAAATTTATCCCTCTCATCTGACATGTATTCTTAGAAATTTTTATTGTAGTTGAGTTTGATTTGGACTTGAATTCGTTTTTTTACTTCATTCAACTTTTGTGCAGAGTTGCCAATTCAATGGGATCCATCTTGAGCCGCCTTCGTGACCAAGGTGAAGCCTCGAAGCCTATTCGTGATGCAGAAGACTACATCCCTTTAAACCTGCAACAATATTCACTGAATGATTTAGTTGTGCGTTGTGACACAAACAAGGTTGTGCGATATGACTCAGCCAAATTTTCCAGTAAGGCTTACCGTATCACAGAGAGCGTTCGCCGTGCAGGATTTGACTGTGCAAAATCTTTCTTCATATCAAGCAACAACCTAACTTGTGATGATGTCGGGTGCATGGAACCTCTGCCTCGAAGTCTGGTTGAGGATCTAAAGCCAAAGTACACATGTTGTCTGTCTCGTGAAGATGACTGCTTACTGCAAGAGTACGATAGAATCTTTAGACGTTTTGTGGGACTTTGTGAAAACTTAGGGAATGAAATATTGATGTCCAGTGAAACTGAACATTATGAAACCGAGAGCAGCGAGACTGCGCAAACTGCATCTCATGAAAGAAACAAAGACATCATTATGCCATATTCTGACTTTGAACACTGCCGCAATGTGACATGGCTACAGCAGGAAGAACTGGACAAAATCACATACATGAATCAGCCTTTTTTGGATGGAGATCTGTCGGTGATTCCACTTATATCGCAGCTTGGCATCAGGTTAGGATATCACAAGATTACGCTGGATAATAAGAGCTTTCCGCATCAGTTTCTTCATCCCAAAATGATGCATTTCTTCCTCAAGCTTCAGGAGGCATTTTACACTCTTCGTTGTATGGACTTTGACTTTGTTGCAGCATTGCAGGATGGTAAGTATTCTCAATAGTTTTCTTCAAAAGTACGATTTTTCTTTTGTTTTTTTTTCTCATATTTTTAGTTCATGTTGATTTTGTATACATTTGAAGAAATGTAGTACTATAGGTACTCGTAGTAGAAAATGAGTAGGTACCTAGTTTCAATGTTTAAGTTTGTTCACTTAGCCATTGGATTGAAAAGCTCATTATTACTTCATCATTGATCTTTCAAGCCACCAAATATATTTTGACCATTGCATAGATACACCTTGTGATAGGTTTAGGATTTTTAAGTTATTCATGGTATAGATGTTACATGCTTGTTAGTGATTTTGGTCCTGTCTTACCCCATCTGACCAGTCAGATGGGGTAAGACAGGATCGCAGCCTTCATGGGGTAAGAAAGGACCGGCCTATGGTGTGCATACTAATTGCACTGAATTCAATTTTATTTATCAATCTGTTATAGCACTTATTTCCTGGCATTTCAGTGCTTGTTTCAACAATGTACTGCAAATAATGAATTTTAGGCAATTTTTTTAAACCTATGTGGAGATAGGTCAGAAAATAGTTAACCTTATTTGGGAAATAAGCTATGTCTAATTACGTAACGTTTTTTTGCCAGGTTTGGGGATGTATGCAGGTAACCTCAAGTAAGAAGCAACTTTTGAGCCATACCAGACATTCCTACCAGTTACCCCCATTGCCTGACATGCATTCTAAAATGGGGTAAAAAAGGATCAGACATGGGGTAAGATGGGAACACCAAATGGTTCAGTTTTATCCCACAGTTGGTCCTGTCTTGCCCCATGATCAGTCCGTCTTACCTCTAAATGGTCATATCTCACCTCATAGATTAAAATTTTCCAACAGACATAAATAGGGAGTATTAGAATACAAATTTTATCTGCTGCTCAAACTAACTAATTTTTATGTTCATGTAGTAACTTTGTGAAGCCAAAACAGGGCTCTTACATGCATGCAGTATTACTCATCACCTTTCTTTTCACAGGAATAAAGAGCTATACATTTTAAACAAATTTCATAGTGGTTGTGAATATAAGATAATCAGTTATGGGTCGCAAGTACAAAAAAGTTGCAAAACCCTACAATGAAGCTACAATGATGCAAGCATGCCAGGAGATAGAAGAGGGAGCATCTCTCCGTGTAACTGCTGCCAAATACAATATTGGTTATGGTAAAATGCAAAGAACAGTCAGACTTCACAGAATGGATTCTAAAGCTGAAGACCACAGGGTAAGTTGATAAATATTTATAACTAGTAACTGTAGATAGTGATATGTGCTCTTGAATCTGGGTAAATGGCTAACCTATGAAAATGAAAGAGTACATGCAAAACTACTTGTTTCATATAGCCATGCTATTTGCATATGCTTATGTACATTTGTGTATATATATATGCATATATATACATTCTTTATCTTATCTGTGCAGGGGAAGAAGCTTGTCCTAAGCAGAGAAATTGAGATGACTATTCTGAATTGCATCAAGGGCATGGAGCAGATGGGGATGTCTCCTCCAATTACTGAGCTGCAAAACATTTTACAAGATTGGCTGGTGGCAAATCAATATGTGACCTCCTTCAAAGATAACAGACCTGGACTAGACTGGGTTTACAGCTTTCTGAAGAGACATGGTCTTTGTTTGAAGAAGGGAGGACAAATGCAGTTAGCTAGAAAAACTGTGACATCTGACCCATTCATTATCTACGGGTTTTATGACCTATTGGAAAAAGTCATCAATGATTTAGGAATTGCCAACAGACCACAATGCATCTATAATCTTGATGAAACCTGCTTCCCAACAGATCCATCAAAGACCAAAACAATAGGAACCAAGGGGGTTAAAACTGTGAGAGTGACACATGGCTCGAACAGAGAAAACACAACTGTGTTAGCAACAGCCTGTGCAGATGGCACAGCACTTGACCCCCTTATTGTATTCAAGGGGAAAAGAATGCAAACCACTTGGGTTGGAGATCAAGCACTGCCACTCACCCAATATGCAGTAACAGATTCAGGCTGGATGACGAGCAGTGTCTTTGAAGATTTTTTTTGTCAATTTGTCAAGACAACTCAGAATACATGCCCAATTTTGCTCATTGTAGATGGTCACATAAGCCATACATCACTTGCAACTGTTGAATTAGCAGCAGAAAATAACATAACCATCCTGAAACTGCCACCCCACTGCACAGATGTCCTTCAACCCTTGGACGTGGCATGTTTTGCCCCTTTGAAGTCTTACTATGACAAAAAACTGTTGGAGTTCACACAAGGCACTGGAGGTCGTGAACCCCTTCGCAAGGATAGATTTGTCAACATGCTAAGCTCTGTGTGGAGGACAGGCCTATCTGAAAAAAACATTGTTGCAGGCTTTCGGGCTACAGGAATTCATCCTTTGGACAAATCCAGGTATGTCACCTCAAGGCTAGACAAGGTCAAGTTGAAAATGTATCATGCCTGGGTTGAGGCTGGAAAGAAAAAAGATGAGAATGGCCATCCTGTCCTACATCCTACAGATGCAGAAGAATCAATTGAGCTATCTGAAATTGAGAACGATGCTTCTACAGCAGAAGAACAGAATGAAGCATTTGCAGCTTCTGCTCTGGCAACCACAGCAACAAAATCAACTGGTCAAGTGACTCATGGACTGGCTATGCCAAAAGCCTCAACCCCGGTTACTCCTGAGATGTCAGATCCTGGGTGCAGCTTCTGGCAGACCAGTTGTCCTGATTTGAGGGTAGTTCTCAAAGACATCCCTTCTAAAGCATTAATTGAAGAGGTAATTCAAAGGGACACTTCATGGAAATCACTTTTCAACATCTTATCATCTAAAGTTAGTGAAATGAATACTGAAAGAATAATGCCAACCCCTTCTCACTCACTGGAGGCAGTTCTTCAGGCCCGTGGACAACCTGCTGGTCCAGCCCAAAAAAAACGCAAGGTTGTGCAAATGGATGCAATAGTTATTTCTGATGAGAAGTGTCGACAGCAGATGGCAGCAATGGCAGCAGCCAAAAATAAAGTGAAGAAACAATGCATTGTAGAAAAACAAAAGCAACCAGTAGCAGCAAAGAGACTGACACAGAAAGACATAAGTGATGACTCTGATACTTCATGTGATTCAAGCATTGAAATGAACATGATCAATAATTCGGACAACTTGATGCCTGCAAACTTAATTCAAACTAAAGGCACCAATGAAGAGACCATGGAAAACATAACCAATGATGAAATGACAGACAACCAGTCAGGTATAAGGATTGATGATGACGCTGTTGGAAAATATGTAGCAGTGCTCTACACTGATCCAAAGACAACTTACTTTTGGGGCAAGATCACAAAAGTGTTCTCCAATGATGAAAATTCCAATGTAACTGACATTGAAGTTGATTTTCTACAAAAGAAAACAATAACAAGTGACCCATCTAGCTGGACCTGGGACAACAAAAGGCAGAAAGAGATACAAATTATAAGCATTGAATATGTGCTGTTTGGCCCAGTATGCCCAAATTTCAAAAATAAATTTTTTCAGTTTCCTGATGTAGAGGCAACAGCCATTCTTCAGAAAATCAAAGAAAAAAGGTTGCACCAAGATTAGGCCAACTACACTGGACTTGTGTAATGAACTTACTGAAGGACTTGGTAATATATATTTATATAGTATATATATACATAGGTGGCAGACACAAGGCCTGCAGCAAATTATAATAATCTGTAAAGACTATTTTTTATTAAAAAATAATATTAATTTCTTTGTCATTTCATTATCTAATATGTTTCTGGATGCATAATATTAAATATCAAGTCCTCAATTTGCTTAATAACCTAGAAATCTTGAAGTTAGAGGCTGGTCCTGTCTTACCCCAACCCGGTCCCATCTTACCCCAGTGGGGTAAGATGGGACCAGTCCACTTTTTTTGCTCTGTGCAAAAAAAGGTTCAGTTTTCAAAAAATATGAGTTGGGGGATAGAAGTCCATTGCACCAACATACCATTTGGTAGGTTCAAGGTTTTTCAATTATTCATGGTTTAGGTGCTACATGCTTGTTAGTGATTTCGGTCCTGTCTTACCCCATCTGACTATACTTTCAATTATCACAACCGGGGGGGAATTATTAACACAATTGATGTTTTTGATTGCTTATAAAATACAATGGGTCTGTCCTTGGCTATTTCATTTCATGTCGTATTCAGGGTGTCACATTCAAAGCCACAGTCTAGGTCGGCTGTCAGTTCAGCTATAGCCAGCAGTCATTCATGCATTGACGAGCGTTCAGACAAGTTACTCTGCCAATCTTAATTCTCATTTTTAGAACAGCATTTAGCCAAGAGGTGATTCAGCTTCAACTGCAGTCACCGTAGCAGCTTCTTGCGTGCTGTTTCACGATCATTATGTGGGTGTAAACGGTGTTATCAATTCATTTTTTATGTCAATTCATTTTATGTTATATACACTAGACACATAATTTTTTTCAATTTGATTTTCTTCACGAACCTCAACTTTCAATACATGCCAATTATTATACCAACAGGTAAAAACAATACTTTCATATTATATTCAAGATCTAAGGTGATTGAAGTGTATGGAAAATTTTCAGTCCTCTTGATGAAATTGTAAACAAGAGGAACAACACATCGTTACCAGAAGGCATCATTGCCTCTTTCGACTCAATCCATTTGTGTAATAACTCAATTTTTATGCTTAATAAAATTTTTTGTCCAATATCGTTCCACATCAGATCTAATAACCAAATTCAAAGCAAGTTGAATTCAAACTTCTTTTTCCTACAATTTAATTAATAATTTATATATACTTTTGCAATTTATACTGTTGTATTATCCTCAAGCATTATGCAATTACAATCTATTATCATTTAGTTAAGCTAACCTTTGTAAAGTCCATAGCCTTCATGGGAGGCAGTTCATACTTAACCGTCAGTAACTTTACTTGTTCCATTGTTTTATATTCCATCCAATATTGTTTAAATTAAAACTTCATTTTAACATCTTGTATGTCAATTATTTATCCAAGTCTTACCAAGATCGATTAACACAGCATACAATAAAAGGATTCTAAGTTACTGCAGTGCACCTTATTAGTTATTAATTATCTTTCAGCGACCTAATTTGCTTGTGAGCCATCACTCACTTGTGCTTCTCGCTCAAAAACTCCAAATTTGCTACCTAAAAATTCCATTCTAGCACATCAAACTTTCTAGTAAAATCTGATAAATAATAATTATTATTTATTGGCATTCTCAGGATGGCTATAAATCCTATTAGACTCAATCTATATTTTATATCTTTTGCCTACACCATTATTGGACCAATTCAGCATCCACTGCTAAGTAAAATTGGATCAAAAGTTAACTCTCCCGCAGTTGATACAGTAACGTTGTAGGAAAATAATAACAAACCACCAACAGAATCAGCATAGCAGCGCCCAGTTAATTCACTCTATTTTTTTTGTGTACAACTGTCAATTTGAGGAAATTCATTATAAGTAGCACCTTTGTTTGAATCACATGCCATAATGGTCATGGGATACTGTAGAGGATTGTACATTTGAAATAACATAAATCTATTTTCAATTTAAGTTGCATTGTTCATGAAATTGCTAACTATGCATTTTAAAAAAAATAGAACCATTGAACCATTCGTTAAAAAATAGAACCATTGAACGTACCAGGCTCAACGCTAACAGCACCAAAGTTGTCATTCAGGATCTTGTTGACATCAGCCACGTCAGCTCCAGACTGGAGGTGCAGCCCAAGCTTCGGTAGTTCAGCAACACCAAGCTTGGCCCAAGCGGTGTACGTCAGGTGACCGTAGAATGATGCTAGGTGATCCCTGTGAGAAATTAATTTGTTATTTTGGCTTAATGTGCAGGGCATTTCACGAGGTTGCATCAAGATCATGAGATGCTGACAATGTGATGGACATGCATTTGACTGCCAGCCATTGTATTTTAGGATTGACATTGTACTTTAGGATTGACAGTTTTCAGATGCAGACTAAAAACAATATCAGATATAATTTAATTGGCAATAAACTGGATTTACACATACCCAAAGTTTTGGCGCAAGAAAAGTTTCAGTCGGATGGAATCATCTGCCCTGCCGCTGTTGCCATTGAAAAAGGTATCCAACAATTGGAGGTGTATATCAGTGCGACTCTTCATCAGGTATAAGAGAAGATCTTGCAGGCTAATGATGGGGTCTTCCACAGAGGATACCACTGTAACTGTGGCCTCTTCACCTGCAGGAATAGATGACCGAGCTTGCACAATTTTCTTGCTCATTTTTTCTCCTCTAATGACAATGTTTTCTGCCAATACTGGGAGCTCTTCCGGCAGCAGGTGTCGCTTCTCAGCTTCCAGATCTTCATTCAATGACTATAAAATATATTAAAACCAGTATTAATCATGCAGAAAAAGGAGCAGTAAAACTCTGCTTCAACAAGCCAATTATGTTCAAATGCTGGATGTTAGGCAAGAGCCTAAGATAATATGGCATGATGTCAGAAATGTTCATGCAAGGACAAGGGCTACATGTTAGACAAACAGAAAATATCCTCCAGGCAAGTTTTATGAAGTGTTTAAATAAATTGCAAGTATCAAAAAGCTACACATAGTTTTCTTTTATTTTTGTTTCAACAACTTGTCAACGCAGGACCCTCCACTTAAATTATATCCATAAAAAAACATGTAGAACAAGATCATGTAACAACTTTATTGTACAGTGTCATGTAAATAATGACATAAAGAAACAAAGTCCAAATTTGTGATACATATTCAAGCTAGTTGTCAATGAGCAGATTTTTTAAATTTTATCATCTATTTGCCAGCTCCAATGATATTGTAGATGAACTTTGAAAATGAGACCAAATCCAATTATATGATTTGATTAAAAAAACATAAATGCTAAAAAGAGTGTGCCTTCTAATACTAAAATGTCAACAAATTAATAATTACCTACCTGAAATTCTCCACCAAAGACATCAAATTTCAGCAAAGCCAATTGCAATTCTGATGAAAGACTTGTTTTTTCCACATCACAGCACGACATTATTTTCAAGAAGGTCTCAAATTTTTCTTTTAATGCTGTCTCACTGGTGTTTTCTACATTCTCCATATAAGCTGATAAATTCTGTTCTTGATCCAGGAGATGTTTCTTCCGTGACAATAGTTTTGCTTCAATCTCTTTCATTGACTCAATCAATTCCAGTCCTTCATTGCATACACTAACTGAATCTTTCAGGTCTTTTTTCAATTTATTTCCAAGGTTTCCATTGAAGGCTTCCTTTATTTGTTCCATGCTAATTTCGTAACCAACAACATTTTCAAAGGCAACCAGCCCATGAGCATAATGCATCTCAGAAATGCACTTCTTGCAGGTGGCAACTCGACATTTGCAGCACCAGTGTTCTATGGTGTATGAGTGCAACAAGCACATGTTATAGTCAACTTTGTTGCCAGCAGCATCACCAGTTGATTTAGGTATTGCACCAGGTATCAGCATGTAGGAGATTGGTAACTCATACGATTCACCCCGCCATTCTTCTCTGCATGATGGGCAAAGTTTTTTGCCCGAAGCCTCGATGTCTTTAAGGCAGGCTAGACAATAGGTATGACCACACTGCAAGAGCAGAGGCTTGTGATTGGTGCTATTAAATGTGTTCTCACACACATTGCAGAGAGCTTGTACATTCATTCTGCTCAGCCCTTCTGAAAAAGAATATACACAAACAATTTACTAAACCATACTTCAATTCAATGGTTACCAACTAGGTAAAAAGTATTTAAACCAGTGGTTCCCAAACTTTTTCAGGCTGGTGCACCCTTTTGTTCCCCAGTGAATCTCTAGCGCCCCCCCCCCCCAACAGACACATATAAAAACAAACGCCTTTATCTTGATATTTATTATGCTACAATTTTAAAAGAGAAAGGTTAAACACAAATGTGTCTTTCACAAATTTTTTTCACCCTTTCACCCCATTTAGTAAACAATATATTGTTTTACAGTTTGAACTGCTTCAGCACTAGGAATTGAAGACGGCTTGGACAAATTTACAACCAGACTTGTGGCCGGTCTTGCAGCCGGTCTCACGGCCAATTTCCAAATTCAGTGACCAAGGAATATCTCCCAAAGTAATGAATGCAGCTCAATAAAACTTGGAACATGACTTATTAGGACCTAGCAGAGATGTTTAGTTCATGAAAAATTTTTAAATTTCACTTCCATTTGAGAGTTATATGGCAATACAGGCCAAAATTTGCAGTGATTAAAGAATTTCTTCCAAACTACTGAGCAGATTTGAACAAAATATTGAATATAAATTCCTAACTACCAATCAGTAATTTTTAGCTTGTGAAAATTTATTCGAGTTGGAGTCATGTTCTTTGTGTGTTGTGTACAAATTGTCAAATGTACAAACTTCTGACTTTGACTTTGCAGACTGCCGCCCCCCTACTGCCGCTTTTTTTCCTCACTGCCCCCAGATGTTTCCCTGTGGGCGGTGGATCTTTCCACTTTTTCCCCCCAGATCTTTCCACTTTGGGATCCACTGGTTCAAACAATGTTTAATCAATGTTGATTCAACAAAACATTAGATTTAACATCATTTGTCTGGTGGGCATTTTCTATTAGATATTAGAAACAGGCAACAACACTTTTAAAGTTCCAATTGTAATATAAGCAAATAAAAAAATTTGCCTGCAAAACAATATTTAAAAGATGAATACCATCAACAAAATTCTGAACAGAATCTGGTTATCAGAATTATTTATAAATAATTTGGGAAATGATCTTGTGTGCATTCTACAAAAACAATGGTTAAATAAGAATAGGCTGAACTCAAATTTATCATTAAATTTTTATTGTTTTCTTTATAAATGAACCATAAATTATAAAGCAAGAAAAAGGCTCAGAAATTTCACATTACTATCAACAAAAGCATTTTGGAGCCGGGAGCCCTGATTTATTTGAGGGTTCAGCAACTTCAAAAATAAAGGTGGTATGAATTAGATGACTTTATAGCAATTAAAACCTACAATGTCAAGAAAGATTTAGATATATTGAATAATCCTTGTGAACATGTTGAAATCTAAAACAAAGTTGTGTAAAAAAACTGTCATTAAAAAAACAGATAAGAGCTAAAAGTGTCAAGTAGACAATATTCTGCATGAAATATGGAACCATTCTGAAATCTTTAAATGTAAAGCACCACTGGAGATGAAAGTTATTATTTTAAAATTGTTTTTGGAGAGGAAAATTTCTAATGGTGTCCTAAGTAACCAAAAAGATTTTGTAACTATCCATAACAGCACATCAACATTTCAATTCCTGTTGGCCACCCATGGCCAAAGACTTTAGACTCTCACTTTAGTGGGGAAGAGGCTCCTTCCCATTTCATCCACATTTCTATGCCAAACCTCCTACCAGGAACCTAAAATGGTATGATGGATACCTTACCATTTCTTCAGTGTAAATTGGAGTAAGGACATGGTACTAGAGCAAGTGGGCTTCAGAGGCTGCATGGTCAGTGGCCTTGTTGCCAGCTATACCATAATGACCAGGCACAAACTGTTGCTTTGTCATGTGAGAGCATTAGAGAAATTAGTTTTTCTTGTAATTTAAAGACAAGAAAAACAAGATTTTGTGGTCTTCTATTAACAATCATGCACAGGGAGCTCAGGGAGCCAGTAAAGATAACATAACCTTCAGTCTCTGAGGTTATTTCTGGCTCAGTGCAGTAGGTACATCATGAATTGCAACAAGCTCAGATTCCAGGACCTGCACCTCAGGGCATAGCCAAGAACCACCCCTCTGGCTGGTAGCACACCTGCAGCTGAGGTTCAGGCTGCAGGTTCCCGCACATGCGAGCCATCACTGTATGCAGCAGTGAATTATAAAGAATGTTTCAGATTAATGGCAACCTGTTTTTTGGTGTGTACCCTCTCATGAAGACATGAACTATGCAGTGTACCCTCTCATGAACTATTCAGTGTGAAAAGCAGTCCATCATGCCTAATGCTATCAAAATCTCCCTCAATGTCTAGGTAAACAATCAGACAATACTCATGAGCAAGTCGGGCTGAAGTACTAGCATTTTTCATCAAGTGCAAAGTATATGTTCTGCCTTTTCCTTTTTCAAAAACCAAGGTGAAGTGAAGACATTTTGACTTTCCAATGTATATAGTCAGATGAGATAAGACGGGATCACAGTCTTCATGGGGTAAGAAAGGACTGGTCTATGGCATGCATACTGATTGCACTGAGTTCAATTTGATATAAGAATCTGTTAGAGCAACTATTCCCTGTCATTTCAGTGTTTGTTTCAACAATGTACTGCAAATAATGAATTCTAGGCAATTTTTTTTTAAAAAACCTATGTGGCGATAGGTCCGAAAATAGTTAACCTTATTTGGGAAATAAGCTCTGTCTAATGACACAATATTTTTTTGCCAGGTTTGTGAATGTATTCAGGTATCCTCAAGTAAGAAGTAACTTTTGAGCCATACCAGACATTCCTACCAGTTACCCTTACTGCCTGATGTGCATTCTAAAATGGGGTAAAAAAGGACCGGACATGGGGTAAGATGGGACCACTACATGGTTCAGCTTCATCCCACAAGTGGTCCTGTCTTACCCCCAAATGGTCCTATCTTGCCTCATAGATTAAAATTATTCAACAGACGTATTTAGGGAGTATTAAAAAAATTTATCTGCTGCTCAAAATAACAAATTTTTATTTTCATAGAGTAACTTTGTGGAGGCCGCAACAGGGCTAATATATGCATGCAGTGTTACTCATCAGTCATCACTTTCCTCAGGAATAAAGAGCTACACATTTTAAACAATAACAAACAAAACAATACAATAACAAAAGAAAACAAAACAAGTGGCCCATCTAGCATTTCTAGCTGGACCTGGGAAAGCAGAAGGCAGAAGGAGAAACAATTGACAAGCATTTAATATGTGCCATTTGGCCCGGTATGCTCAAATTTCATAAATAAATTTTTTCATTTTCAATTTCCTGATGTAGAGGCAAAAGCCATTCTCTGAAAAATCAATGAAAAAAGGTTGCGCCAAGATTGACTAACAACCATGGACTTGGTAATAGACTGACTTAAGGACTTGGTAATGAAATACATATATATGGTGACAGACACAAGGCCTGCAGTAAATTATAATAATCTGTAAGCACCATTTTTATATTTAAAAAGATTAATTTCTTTGTCATTTTATTATCTAATTTGTTTCTAGACTAATAGTATCAAATATCAAGTCCTTAATTTGATTAAAAACCTAGAAATCTTGAAGTTAGAGGCTGGCCCTGTCATACCCCAACATGGTCCCATCTTACCCCAGTGGGGTAAGATGGGACCAGCCCAATTTTTTGGCTTTGTACAAAAAAAGGTTCAATTTTCAAAAAGTCTGAGTTGGGGGATATAAGTCCATTGCACCAATATACCATTTGGTAGGTTCAAGATTTTTCATTTATTCATGGTATAGGTGCTACATGCTTGTTAGTGATTTTGGTCCTGTCTTCCCCCATCTGACTATATACTGCAGGCAAGGGGCAGAACCATGCGCTCCATGAGTTTTCCTGTGCAAGAAGAGTGATATGTCAGTACCCTGTCACTTGTTCTGGAGGCTTACCTGGTTTTGGTATAGGTATAACTATTCCATGAGCTTCCATGCATCAGGGATAAAGCCAGAGGTTTGTATTAAAAAGAGAAGAAAAAATACCTGCTTTCACTACAGTGATGCTTTTGTAGAAAAAATGTTCATAATTGAGTCATGACCAGGAGCATGGTATTTTAGTGTTAAAACAGCCTGAGAAAACTCACCAACTGTGAGGGAACATAGTGATAATTTTCAGGTCTGCATATATCTCTCGCTTCCAAGACCGCTGCTTCAGGAGCAGGAATGGCAGGAACAGCAGGTAAAAAGTGTTCAGAAAATAATGATGCATTGGCTGAGTCATCATCATGGGCAGGGCAGCATGCCAGCATCAAGCATAGGGTAAAAAGAATGAATTATTGGCTTACCCTGAATGCTGCAAATTTTTTCCCAAGGCTCTTTGTTGGTAGTGGATGAAGAGATTGTGCCCACATACTGGATCCAGCTTTGATGCTACTTCTTGAGCTTCAGGTTACAAGCCACCTTCATGATGCTTGTATTTTATGAGGTTTGCTGGAGTGTGGAGTCACTGTTAGGATGGCTCTGGTAGAGTGTAGTCAGATTAGAACTAAGGATGACCACATTCAGGCAAGAGGAGTACCACAACAAACAATTGCCAATGTAAGTTGGGAACATGGTTACAGGGGAAGCAAGTAGCAACCATCATTAAAATTTCAAGAAACAAATATGGTGAGGGCTTTCAGAGCTGCTTCAAGTTCAAAGTATCTCCCAGTAAAATTTGAACTGCCCTATGCATTCCACAATGGCAAATGAGCATTGAGCAAAAAAATTGCAATTGATAATACTTTAGATTAAGTGCATCCAAAAAAATGGGTGTTTTTTTAATTATATGTTTTTTGGGGTGTAGATAAAGAATCTGAAATCCGTTTTTGGCGGTCGGCATCGGAAAACCAATTTTTTTCCCCGAGGCTCTAATTCGTGAAAAAAAATCTGGCAAAAATTGGCAAAATCAGCGAAAAAACCTAACCTAATCGTGGTTGCCTGCAATGTCGTGGTTGCAAGAGTATATGGGTAACCGAGGCTAAGTTAAAAATGCTATAAATCCACGGATATTGGGGCCAAGATTTAACTTGCATTTTATCTTAGAAAGCATATAAAAATTGGCATATATAAAAATTGCTTTTCCGATGCCGACCACCAAAACGGTTTTCAGATTCTTTATCTACACCCCAAAAATATATAATTGAACAAAAAAAACACCCTTTTTTGGATACACTTAATCTAAAGTAATACCATAAAATTTCTTGCTGCAAAGCAGCATACAATTGCTGCAAAGCAGCAATACAATTTTCCCCAAGCTTGTGTAAATAATAGTTAATTTTCTCAAAACTTGCATTCTTGCCACTTGCCAGGGTTGTAAAAAATTTCAAATTGCAATCCAGCTTTCCAGGCTAATCCAGATTCCAGCCAAGACAGTAAAAGACTCAAAGAGCATTAGCAACTTTAAGAGACTGAAATCCAAGATTTTTACCTCTAGGAAATATCAGAACTCAGAAGATCAAATTCTTGTCTTTCAATATCTCTGCAAACTAAAATGGCCATACATCTCCAGGATGATCTCCTTAATCCTTTATTATCCTTATTGCATTTTCCCAATGTGATCTGTGATCATAAAGTGTAACTGTAAAAGTCTGTAATAGCCTACCCTTCAAAAAATTATTCACTCACTTTCAAGTTTCAGCCATGTTTCACTTTACAGAGACAGATCACATCATGTTTTTTATTGTACAGATAAAGTTTAGGCTAATTTCTGTGAGACTCACAGAATTCAAACTTCCACACAGTGTAAGACTGTAGTCTGTAAGTTTTCCAATTCCATGTAATCCATGACAATTTAATTGCACTATTTCCATACCCAATCCTCTGGTAGTCTGGTGCATACTGCATTGTGCAATGAAGTGTTAACTGCTGGGATTTTAATGTGTTGATGACCGGTCAGCGGTCATGACCCTGACAGCAGCTCATAGCGCACATAGCCTCATACTCAGTATGACTCATAGTGATTGACTGATTGTGCTCAGTGCTGAACTGCTTACATCATACAAGACACAAGTTACAGTAAAATACCTAGCCTTTGCTCCTCCCTCTAGCTAGTCACAAGGTCTTCTGGTCTTGTCTTGGTTATAGCATGAGTCAACTGTGAGGGAAATGGCCCAGTCTTGCCCAGAACCAGATGAGAATTCAACCTTCAAGTATTCAACTGACGTCTGACGCTTGACCAGCTGTTTGTGAATGTCTTGGTTGCTTGTGAGTTCTTGGCAGTCACTGACACTCACTGTTGCGCGGACGCAGAAGCAGGCAGAGCAGGAGAGCTGGCGCCCGCCGCCCGGAGTCGCCGTCTGGCCGCTGTCGTCTGAAGCTCTGAATCTGACATCGATGCACTGCCTCCTTTACGGACCTTTAGGCCGCTTCCGGCGACGCATCGGCATCATTGAGACAACGAGCTTTCAACTTTTTGTCACCACTCTTATCTATCTACACTAACAAGGTTAAATATCTAACTATATATACGGTATGTAATTGAAAATTGCACAGAGCGAAGTAACTTACATCCGTCGTCCACTGTAGCTCGAATCAGAATCTTCTGATGACCTGGGCACCTAGCTCGTCAGTCGTCAACAGGCGCCTTGCGTCCGGACGAGAAGACAGAAGAGAAACTCGCGGTCGACGCTTCTAACCTAACCGCCAAAATTCAATTAACCCGGAACGCGGATGTTTGTATACGCGGATACCGAAAACCTAAAAACTAACATAATAGCGGTTTAGCGGTTTCAGCGTTTATTAGGCCATATAGGCCTGTCGCCGATCCTTAACATCGCAGAACATCCACAGCATTTTGCGGTCTCGAACTCAGAACTCACTGATTCAAATTCTGCTGTGCTTAACCGCCCGGCCTCCTTACCGATTCTGACCAGAAATTGGCGCACAGAGCTGGGATCGAACCCGCGCCTCTCTGCGCCAATCTTGGGACTCTGAACTGTAACCACGCTAATAATAATATTAATAGCGGTTTCAGCGTTTATTAGACCTTAGGCCAATCGCCGATTCTTGACATCGCAGAATATGTACAGCTTGTTGCGGTCTCGAACACGCAAATCACTGCTTCTATTCTGCTGTGCTTAACCGCCCGGCCTCCTCGCCGATTCTGACCAGAAACTGGCGTACAGAGCTGGGATCGAACCCGCACCTCTGTGCGCCAATCCGGATACTCTGAACTGCAACCACTGGGCCAATACTGGTATATGTCCTGGCACAAAAAAAAAGAGTTTAGTACCGACAATTCAAGAAGAGATTAAAAAATTAACAGTTTAAGCCCATGAAAAGGGGATTAACCTCTTGAACAATGAATTGAGATCAATATTAATAGTTCCAAAAAGAGTTATATCTGTAAAAAGAGTTATATCTGACTATCTGTGTACATCAAAAAATGCCTTAGTCAAATCCTTAACATTGGAAAAACTCTTCAAGCGGTTTACGAAAACGTAAGTATTGTCCACTATATATTGTTTTTACAGGCAAATTGACAGTTTGGGTTTAGGTCTCCCACTCGATCCCACTTTTGCAAATATTTTTAAGTGTTTTCACGAAGCTACAAGGCTGGCCAATTGTCCTCTTGATTTTAATACAGTTTTATGTTACCGATATTTCGTTGACACGTTGATATTTCATCAAGCATCCCTCTCATGTATGGCTTTTCTTTTATTATCTTAACCTGCAACATTCTACTACAAAATTCACCATGGAGCTTGAGTCCAACAAAAGTTCATATTTTCTCGATTGCAATATTGCAAAAACTAATGGTTGTTTTCCGACCTCTGTATTCCGAAATTAAATGTTTACCGGCTTATGCACCAGATTTTAATATTTTTACTCATTTCGTTTCAACTTAAAAAGGATTTAAACGTTACTAAACCATAGCTTCCGTATTTGCTCATTTTTCTATGCAATGCACTCTGAATTTGATTTTTTTTCGTAGTATGTTTTCACGAAATGGGTTTCCGTTACACTTGGTGTGTACATAAATTAAGAAATTTAGGTCTGGGCAATATACAGAAGTTGTTCCGGATTGTGACAAGGAACTTGATTTTATTGTTCTTTTCCCTTTTCTATGCGTTCGTCCCTAGTTTATAGATCCAGTTGCGTGCAGTACGCACCCGTCCATTGGTATGACGTCTCGAAATTTTTAAACTAGGCTGGCGGAGCATATAGGCAGAAGATATAGAACGAGAACCCTTCTTACGCATCCTCCTCATTCAGATGTGCGCGTCCATGCCGAGCAGTGCAATGTCCTGGTGTTAGATAGTGATTTTAGAGTTCTAGCTTCAACGACCGCTGTTTCTGACCTACGAATTTGAGAATACCTGCATATTATAAAACAAAAACCTAGTTTAAATGTCCCCTTCAGCTCTATCATCTTTTAATTGTAAATGGATAGGCCTGTAACCACACGTTTATTTATTTGTCTATTGTCATTTCAGGTTTTTATCTTCATTTTGAATTTTAGTTTTCTAATTGATCCTGCTTGTCGTATGGGATTTTGAGCTGACGGTGAAGCTGGACTCCGGAACGTTTTCTCATATAAAGATAAGGTAAATTTTCTGGCTATTTTAAATTCTTAGTGAAGGTGAGATCTAAGTAGTAAAGTGATCTTACTACGTATAACATGCCAGTCTTTTAGCATTCGTGGCTCAATAAGCGTGATTTCATTGCTAGTAACCAGGTTGAAAATTTGCCCAGTTTTGGCAGGTGGCGGGAAGTAAACATGCATTAAGCAAGGGAATCATCGTCTTGTACGTGTTTGGTCTAGGAATTGGTTTGTAAGCGCGGTTAGGTCGAACTACAAAAAAATTCAAAACATTAAGTTCATTCCAAAAATATCAAACAAAAGGTATAAAATGGCTTTTGGTCTCGAGAGACACTTCTTCGAACTCGCTGGTCAACTTAGTCAGCGGACTCAACGCAAAATACAACATTAGCGCAATCGAACAGCTTACGACTACCTCAATTCTGAACGGATCTGCCTGAAATTTAGAACATAACTAATTGTTTATTATAAAAACTCCATGATAGAAATTAACAAAAGTTTACCAAGGAAAATAGTTTCAAATTAAAATCATAAAGTTTTATTCACTAATTACCTTCAGACTGTTAATCTGCACGTAGTGTTAGTGTATAATTTTAAGATCATTTCATATGCTGCACTCCAACGTATCTTACTACCGAGTTGCAGAAATTAAATTTGTATCCGCTCATTAACGGAATGAGTTTTATTGATGAAAATAATAATGAACAAAGTGAATGAAAAAGTTCCACTGAACACAATATTAAACTGTAATATCATATGACTCTCAATCGCTACTTTCTTCATCTAAAGTGCTAACTCGTGAACTACGGGCAGACTATTTGATTTGACAGTGGCAACGCTAACGACGAGCCACGCTTCACTGTATTTTATTATATTCTCTCTTATTTCATTTCTTATTATATGAAAACTTTATTTCAGTGTCTCTGCGTCATGGCACCCAACTGGCTTCCTTATGAACCCACCTTATCGATGCCACATTATCTTACTGATAGAACTGAAGACAAAATTACATAGTAAACCTGAATTATTTAGTTTAATTTTGTTGCTACTGTTTTCTATAAATTTTATTTCCAGGTTTTAAGACGGGCAAATTATGCTGAAAAATTGAGTCAAAGTTATTTTCTTAGAAATAAGAGTAGCTTTGATGTACCTAGGAGATCCAGCGTATGTGAGTGATCAGCAAAATTTTTAAAATACTGTAAATATCACGTTTTTCTTAGTGCTAGCCTTGCAGTAAATATCAATATATTTTTAAAACTTTACTAAGATGCTCAAATACTATTCTCAATACTATTCTCAATATATATCAGGATTTCAACAGCAATTTATTTTCACAGATTGAGGTATTATTTTCCGAGATTGCTTAATAAAAACAAATAGTTTCACTCAGGTTTATTATGTGAATCAAGTAATGACTCGCCACAGCTACTAGCGACACTAGTTCGCACGGTCTTTTTTTGGAATGGTTTATTATTTTCTTGTATCATATAAATATATGCGAAATACACAAAATAAATAACGTAATATCACAAGCAAATGCCCATCAAAAATACAATAACAGAGTCCAGTCGCAACAATCGAGCAAATGTTACCCGAATAATGCCTATTTAATGTCCATGTTTGTCATCAGTGATCCTTGTTAAATCGTTAGAAATCTCTGCATCGAAATTGTGTTCGCCTGCGTCCAAGCTGCAACACTTTCTCGTGCTCGAGAAATCGTGACCATACTGTTACAGAACCTGATGACTTTAATCTGAGGATTCGTTTGACCGCATCGAAGATATCCGGCAAAGAGTTAAACTCAGTTCCTGACTCTGTGAAGCTCTACATTGAACACTCGAGCCCATATATTAGCTTCAAGCTACAGGATTTAAGCCGACTTATCGTTTGTAACGCGCTTCAATCTACTACTCAGACCAACACCGAACTTTACAGATCGTAAAATCAAGTCACGTTTACACCAGAACTCAAATTGACAACCACCAACAAGTTGCACAAACAATTTTGACCAAAATAGTGATGAAACTGATCTGATATCAAAATCGTCGGTGCAGTTTTGTTAGAAGATGCCCTACATGAACTGGTCAGGTGCAAACGCCGTTCAACCCAACACCGCTTCTTGAACATCTTGTAGAATTTACACCAATTGAGTTCGTTCTAGCATTGATAGTTCATTAAGGCGGTGAAGTGCTGAAAGAGGAAAACAAATCAACCGAAGTGATTCTTGATCTGAGGAGGGAAGGCAGGTCGGGGCCTGAATTGCTGCTGCTGGGGAGAAGGAGGTGCTCCATACCCTGACTGTGGGGGACCACGAGGTGGCTGGGCCACCTCCACGAGATTGTTTTCCTCTTCGTGGTGGTGGTGATGGTGGTCGTGGTCGTGTTGATGGATTTGCTTGCCTTGTTTGCCATGCTTGTCGTGTTTAGAGTGCTTCTTGCTGTGCTCTGCGACGAGTTCTTTAGCGTTATGCACTTCGTAAATGCTGTGCTCGGGGTCCTGGCCGTACTCGAAGCCGAAATGATGAGGGTAGATGACCACTTCATCAGATGCCAACTTCGGCCTACGTACACTTAGGTGCTCATACACGTCGTTGGGACGGTCATCACCTACAGGTTTCCGTGCTCTGGAAAATTAATGAATTAATGTAACATGGGATTATTAGAGATCGCGATAAACTTAAATGAAGATTTCAAATAAATTAGCATGAAATTAAACGAATTACATTTGTGAGACTAAAAATCAGACACCGAAGCATTTACGTGTCAAAAATCTATAAAATTCAGAATTTCGGCTGAAGCGCATCCAACGATCATGATGGAGCTGGTCTCCGAAAGGTTTTCATTGAAACGGTGAATTTACTGGGCGTTTTGTTTTCTTTTAAATCCTTGTTGACAATTATACCATATTTTACGTGTGTGCTTTATAGGATGTACTAGAAAATTCAAATTTTCTCCCCCTTGAACTCACTTAACATATTCGCTCGGCAGGAACCCTGGGAAAGCTAAGCTCTCTGCTCCGCCCTGCGCTGCTGCCTGCTGCAGGATCACACTCGCCAAGAGGGGGAACACGGCTAGCTTCCACTGCAACACAACGGGCATCTCCATTATTATTATATATTATAAAATATTACAGAGTCTGTGAGCATTATTATTTTATATTATAAACAACACAATATGCATCAGCAATAATATTATATATTATAAACAACACAACGTGCATCTCCTTTAATATTATACATTATAAACAACACAACAGGCATCTCCATTAATATTATAATATTATAAACAACACAACATGCATCACCATTATTATTATATATTATAAACAACACAACACTCATCTCCATTAATATTATAATATTATAAGCAACACAACGTGCATCAGCAATAGTATTATATATTTTAAACAACACAACATGCATTAGCATTAATAGTATATATTATTAAATATTAGAAAGTGTGCGAGCATTAATATTACATATTATGAAATATTACAAAGTCTGTGAGCATTAATATTATATAATATAAAATATTACAAAGTCTATGATACGTTGAAAACGAGGAATTTAATTAAGTACCTTCTCATTATTAATGCAAAAATAATAACATCTTATAAAATTGTATGCACATGGTCATAATTTCCGATGGCTTTACATTTAATCAAAAATTTCGTAAGGCAATTTGTCGTCAAAGAAAGAGGTTTAATTTTGTAACGTTTTTGACATAGCACTTATTGGTTTGTTTTGAAAACCAGTGGACAAGACTGAAATTTCGTGAGCAATAATTCAAAAATCTAACATCAATAATCCAAAAAATCTAAAACTTCACTGTCGTGTCACAATTTAAACGAATAAGACACTTTTCAAGAACTGCAAACTTCCGCATTAATATTGAAATGAGTGAGTAAAGTTATAAAAAGATTAAAAAGGATGCAAAGCGCTGAATAATTCTTCACAAGAATAAGAAATACGATTCACTTACCATATTGTCTGAGTTGCCAAAGCGTGTCAAGAGAGCAAGAGGATCAATCAGACTGATGCCTGTAGGAGCGCACGCTGCCTATTTATGCATCACGCGCACAACGCTCTTCCTCAGCGCGGAAGGTCGCCTGAGCATCGCTTCCGCGTCTCTCGGTCCGTTCGTCGAGATTGCGTTCGCTAGCGGCGCACAGGCACCTGCGGAACTGCCCTTTAGTCATCCTTACTGCTCTTGGGCAAGCGTGATCAGAACGGACTCCATTACTGCAATTGTTATTGTTTTTTCTTAGGCTCGATGAGCCGAAGTATGGAATTTTTCATGTAGTTGTATGATTGTTATGCCCCGAATTCTAGAGCTCGCGGGCATTTGTGGTGGCAACGTGCAAAATTGCACGTTTTTAGTGCATTTTCTCATTTATGGAGAATAAGCCGCTATTGTGCTCGTCATGTCGTCCGTCCGTCCGTGACTTCACGTCACGGACGGACGAGAAAATTCGCTCTCTGTCACTCACTGCTGTGCATGAGTACTGATCTATTTTTTTTAATTGGACAGAATGTTATGTAACGGAATGCTGAGGTGTGGTGTTATGCCAGATAATTCTGCCCCCAAGCATTAATAGGTGATGTAGCCACTTATTTTATATTAGATTAACACCTTCATATTTTTAGCTACATTTATGAACACGTTTAAAATTAGAAGTTGAATCAAAATTTAGAACAGTGGCTGTTGAAAAGTGGCGATTACTGTTGAAAAGGTGCGGTGGAAGTCGTTAAATTTTTTCTCATTTTAAAGCAGACTTCTCGAAACATATACTGAAGTATATAAATGTTATGTAGTGAGGTATATACATAAATTAATGGAACTGAAGTAGCTTTGGTTATTTCGTAGTGTTGTTAAACGATATTATAGTATTATTTCTGACGTAAAGAAACTATAATAGAATATTGAAGGGAAACGTGATGCATCTACAAACTCCGTTATATCTCCTACGTACTCGAAAAACATCCGGTAAAATACTTCTAGACAGTTTCTTAATTACTCAGAAATTCTTTCTTTATTATTAATATTTCCAGATTTAATTGTTTAGTATTTTTGGCTGATTTTTTTAATTTCAAAATTATTGATTAATTTTAGTGATTTATGTGGACGAACAAGCTATAAGAGTAACAAAAAGTTAAGATCGTGATGATCTGTCATTTGGCGGATCGACAATTTTGACCTTATGAGATTTCAACCATAGCAACATGGAAGAGGGAAATCTTCATGACTTTTACAACGTTAAACGGGATTAGCAGTCATAATGTTAGCTGCACATCTCAAAGTTATTCCTTAGAATGTTTTCAGCGTAAGTCGACTCCTTCATTATCGTCTCGTTGACTATTTTATTGGCCAGAAATAGTTTCATCAACTTCGCCTACATCCTTAGATTGTGTATTATTTCATTTTATAAACTAAGTTACACAACTTATATAAAAGATTAGAAACAAATTTTAGTCATTTATTTCATTTTATTACCGATATATTTTTTATATTAACTACCCTATTTTCTGCTTACATCTCACAAGTTGAGATAAACTTGTGATTAAAAAATGAGATAAACTTAAATTAAATTTATTAATTGAATTTATTAAATTTAAAACGTTTTTTGACTTTAACTAACCTATTTTCTGCTCAAACTTCCTCCGATTCCATGTCATTCCGCCGTGGAACGGCAGACGTGCAACAGCGCGTCGCTCCTCGCGGCCTTGACAGCAGAGCCGTCTGAATTCCTGACGTCGACACGAACAGCTCAGTCATGAGGTGACGGAACTGTAGTTTGAATTCTATTTTTTGAATTTGAATTCTAATTTTTTGTGATGGAGAACCGTTCAACGTTTTGAATTTCAGCGCTGAGTCAATCCTGATTTTTAATAAAAAAAACCCTAAACTATGAGACATATAATCATTATCAATGATTCAGTAAAAAGTCATAAATACTTAGAAGACTTTTCTACGAAGAGTGCAGTAAAACCTTATCGACGTCCGCAGTAGACAACGAACTTTTTTCTAGCTACGACAGGTAGATAAAAGATAGACTCGATGATAAAGAATTGATCCTAGGATAGTAAATAGATCATGGTATATTCAAAGGACTCGAGAATAATTAAGATTTTAAAACAAAAGAAGATAGTGCTTTTGGGAAGAGGAATCTGCCTCACGACTAAAACAGTTGGAGCCAACCGAAAAAAAATTTAGAAGTTGTGTACGTAAACGAATGGACGCCGACATTCATTGAAAATTGCACAGTTAAAATAATCGATTGTATGTAATTACTATTCTTTAAGATTGTAAACCATAAAAAAATGTTCATAATGCTTTCGGTTTTTTATGTATCAAAGCTTTCTTGCACATTTTAACAGGATATAGATAACTAAATAAAATTTTATTGGATTTCAGAGAAACCGTCGCAAATGAATTCAAAACTACCCATCACTTACTATGCTTATCTTGTTCACTATGTGATATATGTTGATAAACTGGCATTAGGGTTAGTATGAGAGTATTAAATATAATAGTATTATATGTATTATATATGTATATGAGAGCATAGTAATAATATGAGAGTATTATTCCTTAATTACGGGTATATTTGCTCCTTTTACCTGCCCAGTGCCCACTTCTTCTGTGAAATTGTAACGATTTTATTGCCTTACTTCAAATCTCTTTCTAGCTATTGTCTTCTATGTAATTGCCACAAGTTTTTTAACTCGTGTCAATTCAAAATAAAATTATTTTATGCTTAATGACCGGCTATTTTGGGTTCACTTCCTACGCAATTAAATAAGGTCGAAGGAATACTGCGCTTCTGCGGTCGAATGCTGCACTCCGACGTGACTTCCTGGAGAGACGCGGCAAAAAATGTGACTTTGCAGAGTAGCAGTTGCTTCAAATTTGCGCTAGTTTCAAGATGTTGCTTGCTTTCAAATGATGCTAAATCCTTGGTGTGCTTGATCCACATCGATTATAACTTCAATATATTGTTTTTTTTTGGCAATATGAGCTAAAATTATCTGGGAGCTTGCTTATACGGCCAAAAATGTGACTTTGCAGAGTTGCAGTTGCTTCAAATCTGCGCTAGTTTCAACACGATGCTTGCTTGCAATTAGTGCTAAATCATCGGGGAGCTTGATTCACATCGATAATAACTTCGATATGTTGTTTTCCTGACAATCTGGATCAAAATAAACTAGGAGCTTGTTTCAAATTTTGCTATCTTCAACATGCGGTTTTCTCGTAATCTGGGCTTGTATAAGCTGGGCGCTCGCGTCAAATCTTGGATCTCACTCCAGAAGCGGTGCTGAAACTTGGTGTTCGCTCCATATCAGTGCAAGTTATAACTCGGAGATTTTTCCATATTGTTGATTACATTAAACTTGTTATATCTTCAAACTAACACTGGCTTATAACAATCTTTGAGGAATAATTGGATAAAAATAATGAAGTCGAAATTAATCTTATCACGTATTAGAAATGTACATTTTCTGTTAGATTTAATTGACAATCTAAAAAATGGTATGAGTTAATTAGCGGCACTTGATGATTGTATTATACTTAGATGAACGTTCATACAAATCTTGCTTTATTAACTTTTCGGCAATTAAGAAGTCTTAAATTTACTCACATTGAAATTCTTAGATACACTTCTAATGAACATGTAAGTTGAATGAATTGAAAAATTAACTTTAATTTTATCTGTCTAAGGATATCGTGAATTATGTCAACGCAATTTTCATTTACATTCGCATTTATCACCAACAGACTGTGCTTATTAAACGATAATTATGATCACGATCGTGATGATCACGGCCTATTAAACGCTGAAACCGCTATATTATATTATATTATTATATTAGGTGAACAATAGAGGTGAATTTTATTCCCGTGATTAATTTCAGGGCAACGATGATGACTAGCATTTGTAATTACGAAATCTCATCGGATTCCGAAATCTAGACGACGACCTCCAATAGGGGCGACCCGTGCACTTGAAGTCGACATAGCGGAAGTTCTCGAATAATAATCCGACTCCTCCCTTGCTCATGGCTTCCCTCAATTCCATACGAGGTCACCGGACCTTCACTTGTTGTCCAAACTTGGCGCCTAACGGTGGTGGCTTCAGGGAAAAAAATGTGCGCCTACTGCCACGCTAGGAAGTACATAACGGGATGCTTGTGTATGATAAGGACTTGATGCTTCTTCGGTGTATTAAGGGAAGCGTGAGTACTGACTGTGTACCATACAGAATCGTATTAATTCAATTTGTATGAAGCTTTTTCCCTTTATAATTAGATAAATGATATTCTCAATTGAAATCCGTGTGCATTCTTAACAATTTGTTTTTGTTATTTTATTCCATTAAATGATTGTAAATTTTGTTTGAAATTAAAATATTATTTTTTTATGTAGCTGACAGCATTGAGCTCATTAGCGCATGTCATTATAGTGAATATAATAAGCTATCCTTAAACTTCTGTCAAACGAACCCTGCCGTTTGAACCTTGCATGTCCGTCTGAACCCTGCATGTCCGTCTGAAACTCTTAAAAGAGTCGTGCAATTTTACTGTCACATTCCTGTATGTTCGGGTTGGTGGTAGTAAAGTAAGAAAGTTTATCAAAAACAGGAATAAGCTCAGAAAATGTGCACTCGCTTGTCGGAAGGCTTTATGAGGAACGTACCACAACACAGCGGGATAATCGTAGTGTGAGTTTCACTGGCACATTTTTTACTATTGTTAATGCGTTTTATATAGCAGATTATATTTCGGGATACGAAACATAAATAATTCGAGGCAGAAGCGATAACTCTATTTTCGGGGCTAGTATGTATAGTAGTATAGTATGGTATCTTCGGCATTGAAGAATAGGCCTGGATAGGCCTCTCGCTGATTCTTGTATTTTTCTTAACTAGACTGGCCTTTTCATGCAAGGAACCGATACGTTTTTTCTCTTTATATGAAAGGAGCAGAAATAATTGAGATGTTATAGGAAACGAGTAATCTTGAGGACAAGTCTTTAGAAATTTAGTTAAATTACTTTAGCAATTTAGTTCCTGAAGTATGTAATAAAATCGTGCAATAGAAATTAAATTCTAAGTCACCATTTCCACTGATTTCGAAGAATTTTCGATTACATGGTTGCATGTGCGTTTGGGTCTCAGAGTTTCCGGTCTAGGGCACTGCGTAAGAAAAGTGACATCTGAAAAGAATGCACTCGCATGCTACAATGCCAGGAAGTGTAGAGTGTAGTATAGGGGAGGAAATTCTCATTAAATTCATTCTAAAATCAATGATAGCCGCCACTGATTGAAGTTTTTCTAAGTCACGCTTCTCCGAATGCAAGTTGAAAGAATAACAAAATGTGCATTGACATTATATCAAATTTATATTCAATAAATAAATAAAAATGAGGCATAAATTTTTGAAGACAGGTATACTACAAATTTAAAGTGAAAATTTGGAATCAACATGAAGTTTTGAGACGAATAAATAAGTACTGTCAATCGCATTATCGGTTTTAAATTCTTTCTTAGAATGCAGGAGCGAATTTGTAAACAAACAAAAATCTTTTACTTTAAACCTGTAAGTCATCTTAATTGAAGCATTTGTGTTGATTCAATTCATCAATTTGAGTCAACTTCAAATTCAGATGATCTACCCATGCTTTCTGCCTCAAGTATTTCCGATACAAGCGAAAGTCGTAATATATACATTACAATGAAGGATCAATGCAAAGACTGTACACCGAATTTACTATAATAACTCATGAATACAAATGTATCAACCAATCATAACTATAAATCATTCAACAGTTGAACACCACATCATATAATTGCTTCGATTTGAGGAAATTGTTTGATTATAGAGAAGATTTTCCAATGACGACATCCTCTGGTTCCAGAAGAAACTGTCCTCTCACGTTTCTAAAAAAATGAATAATTAAATTATAAAAATTTAACATCCAGTAAAAATGTATCCAAATACAATGAAGAATTAAGTTTTGTCTTCGAATCAACTTTAACTAGGGTGATGAAAATGGGATAAGCATGAAAATTGGCAAATTGTATGCCTATGAGACGAAATTTCATCGAATCGTGCTGTTGAGTGCTTTCAACAGCTTATATTGATTCAAAAATATATATCAACTAAGTAAACAACTATTTAAGATCTCATTGTAAGTGTGCTGCAATTTATCTACTAATAAAATTTCACATAAGTAAAAGAGAAATTAACAAGTAAAATTAAGAGCTCAGAATATATTTGCTTTCATGGATCTCTAATTTATGTATCAATTATGTAAACAAGTAATTTAGTGTACACTATTTTTTATCATCCCTGGAAACAAATGAATGCGGATGAACGATTGAATGGTATGCATTTGTACTAACTCTATGATAACCAATTATAATGGGCGGAATTGTCGATCGTGGCAATGGCACGAAAACAATGAAAAAAAGTCGAGATAGATATTAAAAAATAATGCAAGCCAAAATATTAAGAGAAAACATTATTAGTTAAGAGTTTGGCAGATTGCCACTCAGTCTAACCCAAAATCTTGTAACGAAATTGTGTCAAATTAGAGATCGGCCAATTACAGATTCTGCCGAGCAGATGTTTGAAATCTTGTTCTTTATCTGTTCTCTGATTTACGTAACGTCCTGGATGTACGTGTGCTTAAATTCTGTTGAAGTTAATGAGACCTTCTTATTTTGGACTTGGACGGTTAGACTAATTCAAAATCAAACCTCCGAATATAATGAACGCAACAAATTAGCTTTACCCTAATAAAATTAGGGTAAAGCTAATGAACAAGTTAGCTTTTTCTGTATAACGCAACTTTTGATTGGGATATGTGAAGAAACCAATTAAGAAAATATTTTCAACCTGAAAATGAATAGAAATGTACTAACCTCGCGTCTCTGGCCTGCAGAGCCTCAGCCTGTGACACGAGTTGTGGTCGCAGGTCAGCCAGCACCTCGCAGGCGGCGCGCTCTCCTGACTGTATCGCCCCCGACATGTACCCCATCCACACCGTCGCCGTCTCCGTCCCCGCGAAGTGCACGCTGATTTATACGTGAATGATTTAAATTCATTACATTCATGTTTAGTAGTAAACCACACCGGCCTCGCGAAGTGCACACTGATTTATACGAGTGTACAACGTTCATTGAAACAACGAGTGTACGAAAACAACATTGAAACAAAGAGTTACGAGTGTACAACGTTCTCAGACTCATCAACTCACTCTCCGTGCGGTGTGCGTATATGCGTATAACTCACTCTCCGTGCAGTGTGCGTATATGCGTATAACTCACTCTCCGTGCGGTGTACGTATATGCGTATAACTCACTCTCCATGCGGTTTGCGTATACGCGTATAACTCACTCTCCATGTATATGCGTATAACTTACTCTCCGTGTGGTGTGCGTATATGCGGCCAGGCGTGGTAGTCGCCGGGGGCGGCGTACGCACACGGGCAACCGCCTGCCCAGGGGTCGTCGCCCCACATCTTGTCCTCGTACGCGATGTACGCACGCATCTCAGGGCCAAAAGCCAGAACTAATCCTTCTATCACGGCCATCCCCCGCTCCTGCTTCTGTTATGTTGAGAAAGAAGTTAGAGGACAGAATGTTATGTTGGAAAGAAGTTAGAGGGCAGAATGTTATGTTGGAAAGAAGTTAGGGGACAGAATGTTATGTTGGAAAGAAGTTAGAGGACAGAATGTTATGTTAGAAAGAAGATAGGGGACAGAATGTTATTTGTTATGTTGGAAAGAAGTTAGAGGAAATCTCGTATCAAGTTCTATGATAATCATTGAAACGTCCTGAACATATCTAAACTTTTCAAACACTGCTGTTACTGTGTTTTTTCTTGAGTAAATGAAAAATTAAATAAAATTTTGCAGATTGTCTGCATTGAATGCATTACAAATATTTAATTTATATCACTGAATAATGAGATTTGTAGGCAAATTTGGATGAAATAAAGATCACATCACTCAGAAGAATTCATCTTACCGACTTCTGCCTCTACCCAATAGACTGGTTCAATATTCTCGCAATTTCTGAGAATTCATTTCACCGGCTTAAGCCAGCAATAAATTGACTAAATCGAAATTATAATAATATCTTAAAATTCATATCACCGACATCTGTTCCCACCAATTAAACTGACTCGAAATTCTCATTTAACAACATTTACGTTAACAATATTGAAGATTTATCTCACCGACTTCAGCCACCACTCAGTAGACTAATTCGAAAATCTCACAATTTCTAACAATTTCTCTCACCGACATCTATCTCCACTCACTAGACAAAATCTCACAATTTTTAATAATTTCTCTCACCGACTCCAGCCGCCACTAAAATGACAAAATATCACAATTTCTAATAATTTATCTCACCGACTTCTGCCTCCAATCAATACACAAAATATCACAATTTCTAATAATTTCTCTCACCGACTTCTGCCTCAACTCAAGCGACTGACGACCCCCCAAGAACCCGACGATGGCGGGAGCCCCTGTTGGTGTGGTGACGTCATAAACCTCGAGTATCGGTCCCGTGCTGCACTCCACGTTCAGTTTGTGTCCTCCGTTAGAGAAATATTCTCCACTGAAGCCTTTGTTGCACCAGTGTCGCTGCCGATTCACGTTTGCTTTTTGTATTATATTTACTATACATTATATAACCCGCAAAGCCCACCTTTTGCGCTACTAAAATTGCAGAATAATTATCAGGCAAATGTGTTAAATAAATTTTCATTACTATTGAATGTCTACATTGTCATAATATTTTTATATATTGTAATTATTTTATAAAAATCAGGTAAAAGTTTTGAGAGAAGCAATATATTTTCATTACCTGTTCGTACGTAACCAGGAACTTGTAGAGATGGCCCATGCGCATGTTGTCATACAGTTCCTTCTTGAGCACCGGAAGCTCAGGAGTGAAGGTGATTTTCGTGGTGAGTCGAGGTGGAGTCGTAATCACGACTTTTTTACACGTGAATCGTTTCAAATCACCCACGATTTCATTCGTTTTGTCGTCAACTTGCCTGCATTCAACAAGCACGTTCCTCGACTGGCATGAATAAAATAATAGGATAAATCTGAAATGTTCGAATCATGAACACTGTAATAAATGTACCAATCACGCAGCAGCATGCAGACATAATAATAATTCTACGCTCTAACAGCTGAGAAGATAAAATAAATGCCTGGTATAAATGTCGTACAATAAAAGCATACGTAGTGCTTATAAAGCGAAAGACAAAATTTGTACCACATTTTGTTTTCAAATTGCAACTCACAGTAAAAATCTTTTCAAATCCCGGGAACGAATCAGTATTACCTAGTGGTGCAGAAGGCCAGAATTAAAGTGTCGATTCCATCTGTTATCCATCCGACAAGAAACAGTCATACTCCTATAATTTGTGAAAAATTTCTACATTTCGTCTATTTAGTTCCAAGGCGATAATTTTTTAATGGTCTGGAAAAAATTGACAAAATTCATAATTATCGCCTGTCTTTTAATGAATTTAACTTGTTATGGTTTCAATGTATTAGCTGCCACTGAAATTTGGTTATCACGCAGTTCCTCAATGTGAGTAAAATATCGTCAGCGATATTTTTATAAATATTTTTAGCATCAATAATTCAAGAGAGACAAGAATATTAATTTTTCTTTTTATTTTAAGAGTTATTTGAAGGCAATGCAAAGATAATACGCTCGTTTTCTAACTGGAGGACAACTTTCGCTTCTACACACGACTCGGTTCTTCAATGTCATACCATTCTCTTCTTTTAGACTTTCATAAGATGACCTAAGAATTATAACCGAATCGTCGTCAATTATTACCTCAATTGCTGGAATAAGATAAAGTTAAGAATTACCAACCAACTGGCCTCAATTATTTTCTTAATTGTTCAAATTAAATCGAGTTGAAAATTTCCCCACCAGCCCTAATTATAAACTCAACACTTAGAATAAGATCGAGTAATAATTATTACATAAGTGTTTTGAAATATTATTTCAATTGCTAGAATAGGATCGAGCTAAGCTTTACCTCGCTGTCCTGTCTCACAGCCACCACCGCATGCGACAGCAAAATTTTCTCGTGACCAACCAGCAGAGCTAAGCGCTTGCTCAGCTGTTGCGTCCCGCCCTGTAGAATACAACGCAGGAGTTCAGTTTTTTTCGGGGATTGAAAAAATCAATATAATCTGTTTTTTTTTCTTGACAATAAACAGGTATTAATATTGTTCATAGATACATGAAGAAGCCGAGCGAAATTATATTAAATATATTATTCACAGCGAGTAAATAAGTTTCTCCTGGAATAGTTTAAGATCGAACCTGATTAATTTCCCCTCATTTCTCGTAATTTATGATGAATTAATATTGAATCGTTTTTGGTCGAGCCCCATGAAGCCGTTAAGAAATTTTCAAGTGGTTAAACATTTAATTGGATATGAAATTTCTTTCGTAAAGTTCAAAACTTGAAGGTTGACATTCGAATTTGTATTAATTTTATATATAATTAACGTCCTCACGGTGCGCAGGAATAATTTAAAAAATGAGGCATATGTTCTTAGCGTATATAAATTACGGGCTCATAATTTTACAATAAATTTTCTCGACATTTGTGATCGAGATTATAAAATAAAAATAATTAAAAATGCATGCATAAAACATAGTGTTTAGAATTTCGACGGTGTAAAATGTGGCACCAGCTCAGGAGAGTTTTTAGGAGGTGAATGTTCGAGACCTTGTGAACGATTTTGTTTTCGTTAGCATTAAATGACGGCAGCGCATTTAACAATTATGAATTCTATATAAAACTGTTAAAAATCAACAAGGGACAAACAGATAAAGTTATTTGTAGTCCAACAATATCACGGTACGACCGTGTTGGTCGCGACTTAGACGTATGTTTACAAGCAACGTCAACTTCATCAACTGTTTGAAGTTGACAGTTGATAAATGCAGCCATCAGAACGTGCAGTCTGGATACACGTTCTGCGCTAAATTTGGGTGCAATGAACAGTAATATTAACCATCTCTTTATGGGAGCGATAATACACTATAGACATCACTGTTGGCAATGCAAGTGAAATGTAAATAGCTTTATATAAAATCAAAATATACACGTATATATTCCTAATAAGAAAAAAATACATTCACCATCGATTTGAATAAGTTGGACATCTTTTATATCGAATTATATTCTACCGCCCACTCTACTATTTACAAAGTATACAAACTTAGCAATAAATTTGAACTCTATTGCCCATGGTTGAGCACATAAAATTTATTAGTTGTATCACTTAGCCGACGCTGGAGGAACTCGCCTGTACTCCGCAGTCCTGAGCAGCGTCCTTAAGGCCGAAGAGCGGCTCCACGCCCCCCGCCGCATTGGCGTATGCCAGGAAGAACAACATCGGCATGGATGCCGCATCCACACCTGCAACATTCGTGAAAAATTTTCTTTTTCGAGTGCGAAAATACTATCTTGTTTCTGGTGTTGTGTGTCATGGAACCCACCAGTAAGTTATTCTCAGTTCCAGTGGAGGTTAATTAACTTACATGTCTTACATGTAATCATGTGTCGTTTCTCAAACACTGATAATACGGGTACTATTAACTTCTTTAGCGGAACTTTCTTACAAAACACATATGTGAAATTAATAGCATTCTCATCCATCCACAACAAATCTAAAATGACATCTTCATACACTTACAATCTAGAAACAAATACACTCATTTTTCTGCACTTATTACAATTCGCAATACTTTCACAAGCTCAATACTGCTGCAAAATTATTCCACAAAAAAAGAACAGAGCAGCTCACATACTCATTATCATAATGATGATATTATTAGCCATGAATCATTAATTTTTCAGTTGAATTCCAAGCACTAACCGAAGCAGCCTTTAGACATCTGGTCGAGGTAGCTGCGGGCAGCTCTGCTCTGCAGGTGCAGGTCCCCGAACACCTTCACCGTCACCCCAGTCAGCTGCAGCGCCAGGGGGCTGGCGTACGGATCGTCCATACGCACCATTTGCGCCATCTTCTCCAACTGCACAAAAGCATTATACGCACCATTTGCGCCATCTCCTCCAACTGCACAAAAGCATTATACGCACCATTTGCGCCATCTTCTCCAACTGCACAAAAGCATTATACGCACCNGCCCCACGTCTGTCTCTTATACACATCTAGATGTGTATAAGAGACAGGTGTTATCTTCTCCAACTGCACAAAAGCATTATATGCATCATTTGTGTCATCTTCTCTAACTACACAAAATTTTTATACGCACCATTTGCGCCATCTTCTCCAACTGCACAAATTATTATGTGCATCATTTGTGTTATCTTTTCCAACTGCACAAAATTTTTATACGCATCATTTGTGTCATCTTTTCCAAATGAACAAAATTATTGTAGGAATCATTTGAGCCATAGGCTCCAACTGTCCAAAATTTGTAAACGCACCATTTTAGCCATAGTCGCCAACTGCACCAAATTATTATCGCATTATTTGTGTCCTCTTTTCGAACTGCACCAAATTGATACGAACCATTCGCGCATGATCATTGATACAAGATTCAAGTATTTGTGATAATTTTATCAGGATAATTAGCGCTCCTTAATGACTTGTCAACAACACAGACGAAATTAGTGTTGTAACATTAGGTCAATTTCTCATGGTCATGACACGCCCGTAGCGTAAATCAGTATTAAAATGAATTTGTCATTAGAGGCTTAATGAGACATTAATATTTTGTTTAAAACTTATTCTCTTACGTCGACAAGAATGCCGAAACGTATTTTGCTCTTACCATGTATCATATCGAACCCGGTGGAAGTCGAGTAGCTATTTCAAACTTTCGTCAGTCGTGAAAAGATCGGTCAAATGACACGATTTTAGATCTTCTGTGAACAAGTCACGAAAAGGAAAAGAATCGGCGACAGGCCACAGAAGGCCTACACTTCAGCGCCGAGATCACTATGTTATGTTATGTTATGTTATGTTATGTTATGTTATGTACAATCATTAAATTTGGCCAAGAAAATTTCTCTGTTGCTATCCACCAAAAAATTCAGTTAATTTATTACCGTAACAAAAATTGAAGTACTAAGTTACGATTGTTCTTGCCCTTCAGTCAAGTTAACAGACCGGCTGTTGACTATATCTCATTTGAATAAAATTTTAAATCAATTAATATTATATTAGTCTATTTTATTATATTCTATTTGAATTTTGAGTGAACATATTGAGCATAGATTACTACGTTAATATCAAAATAAGATGCTCATTACGTCTAGCTCCTAGCAAAATGGAAAGGTATAAGTTATTTAATTCGAGTAATATACTGGCAGTTACATCATGGAATTTACTAACTTTTTGCATTAGACGCTTATGTTCGTCGTACGCCCAGGGCGATCCGACGGTAGGAAGATCAGCTTCGTACGTCTGGATCTCCCCTCGCGTCATTTGCATCAGCTTTGTGCCCTCGCAAAACCTGCGAGCAAGTTACTTCTAATTTAATCTAGAATTTTATTATCTAAATCATATTTAGGTGAGAAATTTTCGAAATTCGCCAAGAAAATTTTACAATATATTAACCTGTAAAAATTTAATGTGTGAGTCACTGGATTCGCTGAACAATTCATTTTTCATGTGTTGCGAGTCATTTAAGAGTTTTCCGTTTGCTACATTAGGGTTAAAAACATCTCGTCGGAAGAGGGTAGGAAAAAAATTTCCCTGAGGCTGGTGGTTACCAAAAAACTGTTTTCTAACTAGCAGACTGGGAGTCTTGTGCATTTCAAAGAGCAAAGTGTGTAAATAACCGAATTAATATAACAGATTTCTAGTAACGAAATGCAAATATATCACTCACTGAGGATGAGTTTTAAGCTTGAATTCTTCGATGAGTTTCAACACGTGATGCTGCGTAGGCCCCACCCACTGAGCACCGAAGTCGAAATACTCAACTTTTCCGCCTTTGACTTTTACTGGTAAAGTTAGAGTTCTTCCGCCGACCCGATCTAGTGAAGAAATTCAAAATATAGTTCATTATAATTCATCTTCATTGTTTAGGGCAAATTATAGCTCTTGAAAATTAGCTAAGAACGTGAATTACAGTTCAATGAAAAAGAATCATGAAGACGTTAATTAAATGACACTACTGGTAAAAACTTAAAATTCGAATTAGATCGGTGAATTTTCCCAACTATCGAAGTACGCTATGATTATTTTTGATTACGAAATTTTTATGAAAACTTTGATTATATAAAAGTTCCAATCGACAGAAGTAAATATATTTTCTTTCATTACTATGAAATATATCAAATGCCCGGCAAATTGTGAAATGCCTAAATTTCCCAAATATTTCGTGTGGAACCAAGAAAAAAAAACACCTCAACGCATTTCCCTCGACTCAGAAGAAATTTGTCCGTGCTCTCTCACTCTATCATCAAATTTGGAATATATGGTTTTATAATTCTATTGTGCATTCAAATCATCGGTTCATGATTTATTCACTTTTCTTCCTTGTACCATGTAGTGCATTTCGTCAGAGCTCTACGCTTCTGGTTACTATGACTCATATTTTACTATTTATTCTTATATTATTAGTTTACTTGAATTACCAGCTCACAAATAATTATAAAAGAATTCGCGAAGTAAATAAACATAGTCGACGTAGTGGGCCAAATGTGCTGCATTTACAATCTAAAGTTTTAGCCTGCGGGTCCTGTAATACGGGGTTACACGAATAACACTTCCCATCAAGACATGGAGCATATCGTATATTTTTTTCTCCGCCAGGCTAATTCGTGAGTCCAGGTTAATGCGCGAAATTAAACAAATCAGGGCGCCATGAACGGCGATAAGGCTGGTTAACAAACCGTGACAGCAAAAGAAAAGATTCATACATTATTATCCTCTCTAGTCTTTCTTGGAGAAGTGCGGCGGCTTAAAGGCAAAAAGTGCGGCCGAAGGTCGCCCTCTACATCGTCTCTTGCGTGTATCTGTCAATTTTCTGTTCTGATTGACTTATATTTTATAAATTTTTTGTTCTCATAAATATCCGGATAAATATATCATGTTGCATAATTTAAATACCTCTGGCTTCAATGATGACGATTTTCAAAGCCTCGTCTCGCTTGAGGAGCTCACGGGCGGTGGTGAGCCCAGCCAGCCCAGCCCCGACCACAACAACGTCCACGTCAGCACCTCGTCCTGGACTCTCCATTGCTTATTTGTTCATAAGAATAATAATTCAATAATTATCATGTATCATATTCCCAGTGCGACAGATAAATAACAGAAGCTGCTGCTGAATTACTCCAATAAAATTCATTGGAAAATATATCGAAAAATTTATTTAATGGGCTTATGAAAGTAATTTCTTTGCACCTTAAGGCCCTATTGTGAAAAAGACTTACTTTTAAATTGAAATTTATGAATATAAAGTGCATAATTATTACAAGTTATAAGTACTCTCAATCACAGATAAACTCATTACACCGGTGTGATCAACAACACAAATATTTCTCATAGCAACGCTGGTGCGGGTTTTGAAAAAACTTTATTGACCACGATGGTGTCAAGTGAAATGGTAAAATAAGTCATTTTTCCCAGTGAGCCTATAATTATGAGTCCGTATACCCATAATTCAATGATTCATAATTATATCCATACACTGTTCACTTACTTACTTAGACTGTTAAATGTACTCCATTAAAATAGAAACACGTTAATCTAAATTACACAGGTGTAAAAAACATCGCAGGTGCGATTTTCGATGCAAATTACGCAGGTTCAAGAATTATTGCTCTATTTGCCGTCCTAAATTAAACATTCATTGGAGATATACCAGTATTTGGTTGGGGTGGAGCCTATTTCTTCAGTTGTTATTTACGATTTGCAAAGATTATCACAACGCTCGCTCCTGCGTAATGGTTCTAGAAACATTTTTAATCACATGTTACTGGATATAAAGTGGTACGAGTTATGCCTGGGTCAATATTGAACATGCGGTATATAACCATTTATAACGGACAAGGTCACGACGTACCTTGACTGCAACTGCAGAAATTACCCCCTGGCAACAAATATACATAGCTATTTTATAAATAATGATAACTTAAAACAAAATGCTTATAATGTCATTACCATATCAACAATTAAATGACTCACCTTCAGTAGAAAATATACACGGAAAGCGTTTTCACGAGTTAAATGTTTAGAGTAAATGATACAGTGCCGACTGCAGATGAAGTGTCGTACAGCACATTCTGTAATATCATTTATGTGGAGATAACTATGATTCTATCTGAAGGCGATAGTGTAAATCATCTCCTTATCAATCCATCTCTAAGATAGGAGATATCAGCTCAAGTGGTATCTCTGAGGCTTATCAGTATCAGCAGAGGAGATGGGTCTCTTCTAATGATTTAATTAGAGGACTAAACATCCATTGCATCAACCATATATAGAGATAAGTAGAGGTAGCTGAATAACATTCATAACAACGCTAATTACCTTGAATATCCGCTCACAAAAACATCAACAGTTGCCATGAAGCCATCTTGCACTCTTGCACGTGCTCATTTCTCTGGTCTTCGTATCTGCAGCTTTGGGAAAGAAGCTTTCAATTTTTCCCGTGTCATAAAGAAAAGATAATGGCGCTTTCAGCGTTTATTAGGCCGCAGATTATGAATACGAGTATTCTACTCCGTCATATGGGAAATCATTGCATCTCGAGCTTGAAATAATTCTTGACATTCTGATACTCTAAATCTAAAACATGATTGAAGAAGGTCTTATAAATGTTTTTTACAATTTGACGCGTGTGTCAATGGTTCGGTAAAATAGCATAAAAGCTCCTAACGAACATTTTCGATTATATCTTTTTAAAAACTGATAAACTTTATATTACTAAACTTGTTTATCTATCGGAAATCCTGTTAAAGTAGTCCAATAATTTCACAGCGTTTTACTTGTTCATTTCTAGTCTGAAAGTCGGTTTCATTGGTCTCACTTTAAGCGGATTTTCTCATTTATGGAGAAAATGCAATATTGTGCTCGTCGTGTCCGTTCATCTGTCTGTGCGTCCGTGACTTCACGTTTTCGTCGACGAGAAAATGCGATCTCTGTCACTCACTGCAGTGAGTACTGAGTTATATTTTTTAGTGTGTGAGACCTCTACGTGCTATATATACATATATTAGTAAGACCTTTCCTTTAGTAATATTAGTTTTATATGAGAGAATTTACTGATTTATACGCGTGCAATTAAAGACCAGAGAGTTCATTGATTTACATTATTAGAGAGTCGGGCAATTTTTCAGAAGACGTTGGTAGATCGAAAGGCATATTTCAGAAAGTGGAAGTAGTTTTAGTTTATCAACGATGTTTCGAATGCAATAAACATTCATTTTCAAGTTACAAGAAGCTTTTTATATTGATATTTTGGTGGAAATAAGTACATAATATGCGCAAATAAGATACTTTAGCAAAATTCTAAACCAGAAAAATCACTCTGAGAACTATCTCAAAATTCAGACAAATCCGCCTAATCCGGTAGTCAGGACTCAGGAGACAGTCAGCTGGCGTCCAATCCGCAGAGACGAGGAGGTCTGCCATCGTCGGGTGATTGATGTCTAGCCACTGCTTGATGACAATGTTGGATTGCTGGTGCCTACTGCCTGGTGGGACTGGCTTATTGACTTATTCCAGTACAATGCGAGTGACGGTCTGGTTGTGACTTGTGAGATTGTCCCATGTGGTTTACCTGCCCCTCAGATTGAAGGTAGCTAATGACTCAGTAATGAGACTGCTGCTCGGTTTCCTATTGTTGATCAAATTTGGCCGATATATTCCAAATGATGAAGAAGTCTTCAACCTTCTTTGAAGCAAAATTTATAGACTACATTGGTTCCTCTGATAACTCCCGCAAATTCATTGACAATCTTGAGATAATGGATGAAGTTGCTTGTTTGTAATGCTTTTTGTTTTTGACCTGGTCGCCACTCGGTACTCGCCAGTCGCCAGGTCTGGTCTGGTTGTGACTGCAAACTTATCTCAGCTCTCAGGTGGTAGGACTGTACGAGAAATGGCTGATCAATGTCACAATTGTTACTCCAATGTAATCCAAAACATGAAGTCTACAACCTTATATGAAGTAAAATTTATAAAATATATTATCAATTTAGCAGTCTCTTCACTCTCTTGGAGAACTTTTACTTCTTTGCAGGGTTGTTGTTGCAGATATTCATGTCCAAGTTTTGATGTTGTTTTTGAGAGTGTCACAATTCACAAACACACAAAGCCTGTTGAATTCATTGATGATTTTGACTTTGAGATGAAGTTGCTTCTTTGTAATACTTTGAAAATGAAACCTGGTCTCAGTGGTCTGATTGTGAGCTTGTCTCATTCTCAGGTGGCAATCCAATGTGGCAGGAGAAATGGCAGTTCAACATTATAATTGTAACTACAATTCCAGATTCCTCAAATGCAATCCAAATAATGGTCATTAATGGACAAGTCTACAACCTTTTTAAGCTTTTTTGAAGCAAAATTCACAGATTACATTATACCAGCCCATTGTAGAACTCGCACTTTTTTGCATATGCCATTGCTCAGTCCTCAGTTTAGTCGGAATTAGTCCAGGGTTTGACGTTATTGTCAAGGAGCCAGTTTAATCATGAATGATATTTAGATGAAATTGCTTGAAAAGTTGATTGTACTACTTATTCACTTTGAGACCGTTTCAGATACTTTTCTGAGTCTCTAGTTTCCATATTTTTGACTTCACTGTAGATTTTTCTTGTAATTAGTTCAGTTCTGTCTCCCAGCAATTAAGATGTACATGCACCTGGATAGTGGATTGCACCAGCAACAAAGATACACACGTTTTCAGGGCATGCTGCCCGGCACATGCACACCCACACGTGAATGGCTTACTCTGTACAGTCTCCTTACCACCAATAGCATCACCGCAAAAGCAAGTGGTAAGAATTGTCATACATAGAAATGGCTCTGCTTGAAACCAGAAAATTGATTGTTTCATTCTAATAATTATTTAAAAATAGATTCAAGTTCATAGTTGTTGGTTTAATGTTGTATTTGATAGGAAACAATCTATATTAATGCATGGTAAAATAACCACCATAAAATGGGGTATCTTAGACCACTTTTTTTTTATAAATGATGCCATTTTTACAACACTTCTCTTTAACTTCACTTCTTGTTTGTCTGTCTGTCTGTCTGTCTGCTACAAATCTTGTAATCAAAATTTAATACACTTCTACTTATTTAGATATGCAAACTTTTCAAATCTTTCTATTGTGTTATGTAGCCTCAGTATTAGGCCTTAAATGCCCATTGACAAAATTTTTCTATGTCAAATAGTTTCTGAGTTGTGGGGGTTTTTGTTAAAAAAACAAAAAGTGGTCTAAGTTACCCCGCCGGTCTAAGTTACCCCATTTTACGGCACTGCAGATGTAAAAGGGAAAGAACCTAAAAAATACTTAACAGAATAAAGGGCAGAGATCATGTGCAGCTGCGGTTGTAGCGCTCAATATTATGGTGGTGCTACCATTGGTGAGGAGACTGTAAGCCATTTACGTGTGCATGTGCCTGAAAACATGTGCATCTTCATCTCTGGACTCTGGTGCATGTGGTTTCTTAATGAATTTATTTGTTCCTATGTTTTTTTTTATCTTGTCAAAGTTCATTGCCTGCCATTGCAAAAATTACATGAAAAAGAGCGCAGCACTTGCGGCAGCAGAAAGCTCTAGTGCCTTTCACCTCTGTTGCTCACTGAACACTGATGTTGGAAGTTTGACAGGAGCACAGCTGGCTGGCAATACGCAGAGCAGCTCACTCTGTGTTAAAAGTTTACCTATATGTGGTTTGCTAACTGGGAGAGATGTCTGGGTGATAAGGTTGTAGGATGGAATGTGGTGGTTGATGATGATGTTGGTGCGAGGGATGTCTGGGTGATAAGTTGGCTGGTTGGAATGTGTTTGTTGATGATGATGGAGATAAGTTTGCTGGTTGGAATGTCTTTGTTGATGGTGGGATGGATGTCTGGGTCGTTGCTGGATGGAATGTGGTGGCTGATGATGTTGGTGGGAGGGATATCTCTGGGTGATAGGGTTGCTGGATGGAATGTGCTGGTGGATGATGACGTAGCTCTTTGACATGGGTTTACTGGCAGGTATGGGCCACAGTGCCACTGCATGTACTTTCTAATTTTACATTTCAATATGTTGAAAAATATTGTGATTGCCAAGAAAATCAGTCAGGGCATGAATAATAAAAGGACAGTCAATATTTCTTTCTTCATTGTTGAATATCTTTGTTAGAACTTAATTATACCTGAATGAAAATATATTATCAAAGGTTTTGCATCTCTTAAAATTTAGTACCTAGATGAAGTTACAATTGAACTTCCTCAATCGTTTGTGAACATAATTTGTTAATTAAAGTAATGGTATACTACGTACATGTCCTTTATTGTGCAGATATACATAAAATAACATACTACTGATCTTCTTAGTAATATATTTAGGTGAAAATTTTCACCATAACCAACAGGGTTGCTTATAAAATAGGTATATCTCATGAACATGGCGTTCAAAGTATCTTCTTCTGATAGCGATTTCAATTCCCGAGTGAATGACTTGTTCTCAAGCCTAAATAATGTTGAGAAAACACTGCCACAAGATGGTCTAGTGTTTGAGTCTAGCACATCAGGATTGTTTCACAGGGATAAATTTGGCAATTTGGCAGCGGCGTCTGCTACTTTTGATGGGAGCTTCAAGAGACCCAATGAAAGTAACATTCCTCAGAAGAAACGATTAAAAGGATCAAATATTGCACCTGATTATGAGAAACACCCTGAGAACTGGACTTGCTACTCCATGAAAGATACTGAAGTACTTGACAACGCCCAAAACAAGGAGGCGTGTCTGCAACTGTTAGCAGATTTGAGGCGAAATAAAGCTGCAGAAGACTGTGAGATGATTGATCTCGACAAAGAAAAAATTATCTTCAAGAAGCCACAAATTAGAACAGCGGCCACGGATGTGTCACGTGAAGACCCAGAAAAGCAAGACTCAGGTATCGCTTCTGATGTAGGCGGCTCCAAAAAGTTCGTTATGGCTGAGCACGTTGTTGGGGTTGCCAAGAAAAAGAAGAAAAAATCTGACAAGAGTCAAAATAGCCACGTGAAAAGTGATCGAGATCGGGTGAACTTAAGTTACCTACAATTTGACGATGGCGAGGATTGTAATTAGTTATGCTCATTCTACATACTAGCTGCAGAAGTTATTCTCAATTCGAGGTTGCATTAAAAACTGTGGTTTTATGTCGTTACTTTTATTTTTGTTATTTGAAAAGTGTTGTTTCAAGTTGCTTGAACTTGTTAAAAAATGACTTGGATTCATTTTCACCCTGTTGGTCGCATATAGGTACCTATATGATAATTTCATTGTAGTATATTTTCATAAGTACTTCAGAAGTAGGTTTCGGATTCAGTAGTAATGAAAAATATTAATAATGTTAATAAAATATTAATAATTTAGCACAACGCGCATTAGTAATTAGTTCCCAAATGGCACAGAACAAAAATTAAAAACAACAGCACCATGAAATTGATTGAAATTTCTTGTATGTTAAAGAGCAACAAAATCCTTGACGGCATCAACAATTAGTTTTAATAAGGTAAATTAGGAGAATCACGATCACGAGTCATTCTTTATTTACCTTTCACGATGAAATTGACTGCGATTTATTGATCTAATTGTAGGATGTATGCTGGAAATGGATTAGTTAACAATAAATTATTATTACTGAGAAATATTCAATGTAACTATATTATAAGCGATGACCTGGATTAAATAAAAGCTTTTGGCACTCAAGGACACAAGCAAACTGAGTCTCGAATAAAATATTAACCTTCATATTCATCGACACGGACTATTTGCGAACTATCAATTGGTGAACGAACATACCTGGAGCAGGTAAGAGGTTGTATTTAGAAAATTTTAGCAGATATACCCGTAGCAAGACACACTATTGGACAGTATACCATAAGATTGATGACAAGATTACATCGAACCTAGTAAGTATCATCAGCAATGATTAGATTCATAAAAATTATATCAAGAATCTTGATGAATTTATTTAAATTTGGAACTGATTGCATCTCGCACGAGGATCAATGTGAACGAAAAGTTCAAAACTTATCAATAACTATTGTCGGCGCTGCATTAGTCTCATTATTATATTTCTCATCACTCAACAAAATTTAGTCACAAAACAGTGTAGACGCCGACGTTTGCTATTCATTTTACTATTTGTTCTTTAATTGGGATCTCGAAGACGCGGTGAACATTCTGCTGCAGAGCTGCTGGCAGAGCGAGGCTGTCAAGCCCCGTGAGCAGGTTGGGTTCAGGAGGCGGCTGACACAACAGCAACTGCTGCACGCACTGCCTGCACTCGTCCAGCACCTCTTCCAGGACCTGCAATATTGATTCGTATTAGATGTTGTTTATTGCCTCATCAACAAATGAAGCTCACTTACAGTTTGTGGTAGCTCCAGAAATAACAATATAATTATCGCTAACCGGCGTTAAAGCCTGCAGCCTACAAAATACATTAACGTGCAATACAATTATACTTCGCGGCCATTGTATACAAATTAGATAATTCAGAGACACAAAAACAGTGCTAGTTCTTCTGTAAAGACAAAATATAATGAGTATTTTTTTCAGTTTTTATCATTTTCTTGAAAGAATGGATTTATAAATAACGTTTCATTACTGTCGGTAATTTAAAAATTGTCATCAAAACCTTGGGTTGGAGCTGCAAGGGTCCCTCAGCAGTGCTGGTGTAGACGAGCTGCAATAAGGCCTTCAGTATTTCATCCCTCTGCCTCCCAGCCTGCGGCCAGCATTCTGATGAATATACTTGCAGGGCCTGCAAAAAAATCATTTTACAATGATATATTTGGAGAAAGGCCATCATATGTAAAAAAAAAATGAAAGTGGGTAAACCACGCAGTTGAAGCAAATCTAAATTTTTCTTGGAAAAACTAATGATTTTATTATTTGGAAGTAGACTACATCACCAGCACCGGTTCTAATGCCCCAAAAATAACATAGTAAACTTCTTGTGTTGACTTCGTATGTTACGATGATGGAATTCCGCAAAAAAATTACCCAGACAAGAAATTTAAAAATACACCAGTCTGCAAACACAATTTTAATTAGTTGAATGCATCTCCTAAATAGCGTTCAGAACGAGTTAGATCAATGAAAAAGGAAATATAAGTGGCTAATAGTTGAGAATATTCCAGGCTTAGCATGAAAACTTCTTCATTTTCATTAACCTACATGTCTTAATAGCACAAATGCAGACTAATTAGTCTGTCAATAGATGGGAAATACTGGCCTTCAGAGCACACAGTCTGTCCCTGGCTGAGGCTCCTTCGAAGGTCGTGAGGTAATTGCACAGCACCTGCACCACTTGGTCTTGCCACCTGCAAGGTTTTTTTACATTGAACAATTTTGAGTACTCAAGTGTATGAGATATCAAAAATAACAAGTCGTTCAATTGCAAAATTTAACAGACAATAATGGTCTCAAAGAATCATGGGACAATAGATGAAAAGTCTCAATTACTCTAATGTAATTAGAAATCTCAATCCCAATACTCAATACTCATACTCAATACTCTCTAATACTTACATACTCAATACTCTCTAATGTAATTAGAAATCCAATTCAGATTATGCAGAACGATGAAACTTGTACCTTGATTTTGTTATAGACAAAAAATATGGTTATACATGAATTTAGTTTGCTTGAAAAAACATACAGGATTTAAAGGATACTGAAATTACATACAGCTGAGTAAATAGCATAAACACTTGGATAAACTGCACATGGTTCAACAATGACAATAGTAAAACTTAAGAAATAAAACTACAAACAGTCTACGACCGCTTGCATATTGACCTGATAACTAATAATTAATGCATTTATCTTATACCTTTACAAATATGAATTGCATTTTTTGATACTAATAAAAAAATCTTACCTGACACTCCTGATGCCAGCAGCAGAGAGTGCAGCGGGTAGGTTGGTCACATACACAGACCGCAGGTCAAGACGCTGCTCAAACACCATGTCCCTGAGCAACATCGACAACACCTCCTCTGCGGCACTCAGCTGCACATAAGGATTCACTCAGTACAGGATTATAACGACATTTCTATACAGCTGATCTATTTATAATATATTATTCAACTGCATATAAAGATTTCCTGAGTGTGGGATATCAAATTATTTCTATATCTCCGGTCTATTCATTATACATTATAGTTCTCCCGGACATTTGAGCTTCCAAAGAATGAGGAGTTTGTAGAAGATCATAGATTTCTCCAATATTTTAATTAACACTTCACTGCAAATCCACCAAATATCATAGGATGATAATTCTAAAAAAATACACCAAGAGTATTGATTGCATAAAAAATAATTGTAATCCCCTGAAAGGAAAATTTAACCAATTGAGAAGATAACAATAAAGTAATTTCAAGTGCCCCAAAACATTAATCTGTAATGTACATACATATTCACTACCCTTAAATTCTAGGTTTTCCTTCAAAAATGCTGCCTATGATAAAACGTATAGAAGAACAGGCTACATACAGCAATTCATTAAATTTATAAATAGTAGCCTATTATTTCATGTCCATAGTTAATGATGAAGCCAGCCACCATCACAGCAATATCGTCCATCAAATTCATACCTGCGCAGAGTGGGCAATGCTGGGATCTTGTTGCAGCACAACAGCAGCAGCAGTAGCCGTTGGGTATGCCTTGTAAACAAATGATTAAGTTAATATTTACTGACTTTGTTGTGTATTCCACCGTTAAAAAAACGTTATCATAATTCATATTTCGTCTGTTCAAAGCATTTCTTCAGTTTATGAGAAACTATGAGAATGGTTTCCAGCGATACTTGCATCTTAATTAATTTAAAAATTAACCATTTAAGTACCTATACTAAATTTTGTGCATGTTCATCAGACAAAGATGAAATTACATAAACATGCAACACACCATAGCTTTTATAAGCAAGCAACTTTACGGGGCAAGGAAAAACTAAGAAAATATAGATATGAGATCTAGTTTAAAAAGACAGGAAAAAAACATTCAAGCATAGGCTGTTACCAAAAAACCAAAATGATCACAGCTCATACAATATAGACAACAATATATGAAATAATTAAATGCCATGAGAATTTAAACCTAAATGTCCAGGGGATATGAGGCTGTAGGAGCAGCTTGGCATTAAACCTTTGTATGACTTTCTAGGTACATTTTTCCAACAATATCTATGTTTGGGATGTAAAATTATGGCGACTGAAGGGGTTAAATATATACACACCGCTTGCAGGAGCTCAGGGTCTCTGCTGTACAGGTGATGCTTGGCTGCCTCATATATCACCGCTGCTCTACCGGTGCATCTGAGCTCTGAACCTGCCTGTACCAAACTGCCTTCAGATTATCTTGAAATGGCCAAACAAGCAAGCACTACAAGGCAAAATTATTGAATAAACAGCATATTGCTACCCTTTTCAAGAGCTAAGACAGTTGCTTATATTTGCATTTAATATAATAAAAACTTTGGAAGAGTCAAATTGCTACATCTGCTAGATTCTGGAAGTAATAAATTCAAGAGTAATTTATGTATATGCCATCAATTGTATGAAAGTAGTTTGCCGATTCTATTATGCAAGTACCGGTAGTGTATATTTAATTAAAATTTTATCATTGTTTCAATGAATGTACTTAATTGCATAATACAAGAATTTGTGACATCAGAGACAATTTAATATTTGCAATTTTAAAAGCAAATTTATTAATAATTAACCAGCCACCATAAGCACATGATTAATACTAAGATAATTGTAAACAATGATAAAAGTTGGAATTAAATTTTTGTCAACACAATTAAGAAATGGAATGAAAAATGTATCCATTTGTGTAAAGGAAAATTCATATACTATGGTACTTCCCTCCATGACCTACGCAGTAACAACAACATACCTGCTGGGGCTGAGGGCAATGGGATCTAAACTGAAGTGGCACTCCAGCATTGCCTGTGTCATCATGGATATAATATGTTGAGAATGACACAAAGAATGTTTGACTTACAACATTGTTGATGATGTAGACAAGGGCTTCCAATGCAGTGATCTTGTTGTGAGGCTCCCAGTCATCCAGCAATAGGAGAATGCCAGGCATTAGGTACCCAAGTTGATCACTTAGGTCATCTTGCTGAAACAAATAGTGTTTAATTAAAGTTTTGTTTAAAGTTAGAATTATTTCAATATTTTAATTTAATTATTTTTAAATGAGCTTAAAAAGTCTGCACATTAAGCCTTGACTTTAGAAATGAGAATGGATTGAAATAGAACAGGATTGAAAAAAACAATAAAAATAAATGGATTGGAAGAAGAGGGGATTGAAACAGAACTCTCCCATTTTAGACAGATCCTAAAATTCAAGCCCCAAGTAATAAAGTAGGAATCTTATAAGGTCTTAATGTTTTTACACAAATTACTTCTAGCCAAATTAGACAGTTGAATGCAATTTTGCAGTTAGATTGCTACTACATATTACTCACAGATAGATTGTATAGCAGCCACAACAGGAATTCTTGAGCTCCAGGGTCATTTTTCCATATTTCCTTGTTCAGATGCTTGCTCAAAAACAATAGAAGAGGCTTTAGTATGATTCCAAATTTGTAATTAGTTACTTCAGCATCATCAGCAATCTTCAGTAAATCCTTTATTTCTATAGAGTTAGATGATGACATGAGAATTTCTAAGCCAGTACCATGATTTTTTTTACTCACAAGCATGGTGAGAATACGAGATGCACTATGAGACACAGTTGAACAGCTCCAGTCTCTCTCAGAGTTACTATACTGAGCTGCTAAAATAATGCAGTTGCTCACTATAGTCTGTATGGCATGATGTGATAAATAGTCTCTACTTTGCACAGCTCTTGTCAAGATCTCTTGCAGCAACTTTTCAATAATTGGCAGATTTTTTTGGGATGTTTCAAACACTTTTTTGAAATCCACTTTTTGATATGGAACATCATTGTCCTTCTTTAGGATAGGAACTCTTGTATCATGAAAAAGTAAATCAAATTGAAGAAGAATTTCATTTTCCAGTTCCTTCAATTTTAAATGCTGAGATTTCAGTTTAAACAAAATCTGATCGAATGCTTTAGTATAGTTGATACTAGACATCTTGATTTACTGTTGAGGCCTGAGGGGTTGAATCAAATACTGTATACTGTATACATATAGGTATTGTAGTTAATGTAGCATTATAGTTATATAGTATATAATTCTTAAATTTTCTGTTGAGAGAGAAAAGTTATTGGAAAATGGAAATGAGACAGATATGGCTGATATGCTAAATAAAAAATGGCAATGGCTACATCAATTGTTTTTTTTTTCTGCAGTGATGCCAGAAAAATGCCCAAAGAAATAACCTTTATACCGAAAAAGCCTACAGTACTATGCCAGAAAATTTTAATTAGGCATTAAATATGTAAGAATGAAGAAAATCTAAAAAATTTGACATAGTGAGTTACTAAATCAAAGTGTTTGGGGAGAATAGAAAGGATCCATTCAAATGTTGTCAATAATTTTCATCAATCCTGATTACCCGGGTGTTCAATGGATTTTAAATTTATAGGGTAAATAACATGATATTTGTATCAAATTGTATTCAAGTATCAAACTCCAAAGCCAATTTTCTTGTGAGTTGTGACTGAGAGAAAATGAATCAACGTCATTATCAGACATTATGACATCATTGCTTGGTGCAACCAAGCACGGAAATTGTCTACCTACCTTTAGGGCCTTGACTAGAGATTTCCTGCAGCTTGCCATTTCCGGAACCGCAAGATTTCTGCCAGATGAATTATCTCCCATCTAATCATTACCAAAAGTACACAATTGGGCTGCAAGATTCCAATTGTATTAAAAATTAGTTCCATTGGATTTGGAGCTGCAATTTCAGAAACAAGTAGGAAAATTCCAATCCTGCACAGTGACTCAGCGTGAGTGAGAGTGCAGTCAGTGCTCACAATGCTCAGAATTTTCAAAGCACACTTGCATTACATTCAAAGATATTTGAGCTAACTAATACTAATTGAGTGGAAAATTTTTGACAGGAAACAGATTGTTATATTTTGTTTTAATAATCATAACAGAAAATACAGAAATGACAACAGAAGTCAGAAGAATCAGATTTGAGATTTAGATCATTTAACTTGTTGATTGAACTTGATTCATCATTCATCTGCTGATCTGCAGTTAGAGAATGCATGGATGATGGAACTAAAGCATGTAGGCTATAACTGCCTTTAGATTGATGTACATCCACTGAATTTGACTGAAATCATCACAGTGATACCAATTACTTGGTAAGGGCTTCGAGTGAACTGTGAAGGATTATCTGTGAAGGAAACTGTGAAGGATTATTATGTGAACTGTGAAGTGAACTGTGAAGGAGTGCAACAATGCACAACGGCACCAGTCACTGTCACATGAGAAGAATGGTGCAGGGCCGGGCCGCCTGGGAGCCAGGGCCCCCCAGCCCGGGACCAGGAGGGACCTTGCCGGGTGGAATTTATGAAAATTATTATTCAATCCAAACCATTATACACATCAAACTGGATGTAAAAATATGATACTACAATTTCCTTTCATATTTAACTGATGAATTAACACCAGATTGATGACTATTCTGTTGTCTACGTTGTCCGTTGGAGCGTTTAGACTCGCGGCCCGCCTGTGGCCTGCTTCCGCTGGACAAAAGGGAGCCACTGGAAGCAGTGTTCTTAGCAGGGGGTCCTCACTGTGGTGGACATAAAGCCACAGGTCAGCCTGATGGATGACCGCTGGGCCTGAGAGCTTGTTGCTGGTTAAGTTTTTAGCCTCTTAGTACAGGAAGCAAGTCTGCGCTCTCTTAAGAGAGATCAGTTCTCTAGTAGCTCCGTACAGGATTTGAGGAGTTTGAAAGATACAAGTATTAGTAAATGGACTTAAAATTAGAAGCTCATACGAGGCAAAGCATGAAAGATAAATGAATGCTGATTTAGCCTCCCTGCCTCAGTTACCTACTTCAAATATAGTCAGATGGGGTAAGACAGGACCGAAATCACTAACAAGCATGTAGCATCTATACCATGAATAAATAAAAAACCCTAAACCTATCACAAGGTGTAGTTATGCAATTGGCTTCTAAGCTACAACTCAGACTTTCTGCATACAACATAGTTTTCTGTACAGATTAAAAAAAGTGAGCTGGTCCCATCTTACCCCACTGGGGTAAGATGGGACCGGGCATGGGGTAAGACAGGACCAACAGGTAATTCTTGTGTTACAAGGTTTTTAATAAAAGTACAAACCTGATATTGTGTACATGGCCGCCATGCATGCTTGTGTACAGCTGTTGCATGGCAACCTACAGCTCGCCTAACCTGCCTGACTTCAATATGAATAAAGTAAAAAATTGAAATATTTTCTGTTGTACATTATCATTATGATTACCTCCCCCCAATAAATTACATAGAGTAAATTCTACATTAATGCATCTTAAATTACGTTGTAGCTCTTGTCTTGGCAGTACATGAAGTTGACAATCCAGAAGAAAATGTGCTATTGTATCCGATGCATTGCAGGTGGTACATTGATCTGTGTTGTTCATGTTGAATCTGTATAGATGGCTCTTGACACCGGCATGACCAATTCTGAGTCTTGCAGCTGCACACTCTAACCTGCGGGACTTTAAGCAGAGCCAAGGGCGCAGTCTGGGTTCTGTCATGAGGTCACTCATGAATGTGCCTTTCTGAGTGTGAGCAACAGTTGCTTTCCAAGTCCTGGTCCAGTGCTTGTGTAGCTTCTCCCTGACAATGCTGAGTGTTTCCTCTTCACTCAAGGTGCTCATGGCAGAGTAGAGATTTTGATGTCCCATATTAGCTGCCTGGTCTGGAACCTCATTTCCTTTTACCCCAGAGTGTCCTTGCACCCATTGGAGTATTGTGGACGCTTGCCTTTTGTAGATGAAATCTTGAATTTTGTAGACATATTCTTTGTATGAGGGGTTTATGGTGTTCAATATTGCATATAAAGCTGACTGGGAGTCAGTCAGCAGGAGAATGTTCTTTGTGCTTAGCCTCAGGTCCAGGCTGCATAGCTGCAGAGCCTTGACAATTGAAAAAAGATCCGAGCCAAGGACAGTATGTGCAGGGTTCAGCTTCCATGTGGTGGTGCTATGTAGAGTTGGTATATATATAGCTGCAGCTGTAGAACCATAGCTGAGTTTTGATCCATCTGTATATACATGAACATAGGAAGGGAAGTTACTATTGCAAAAATCATTGAATATTCCCCTGTTGATGCCTGGAGGGGCATCATGGCTGCAGGTGTTTTGAGTGGAGAGATGGATATGGGATTCCAAACTGTAGTGTGGAGGTAATGGTGAAAAATTGGGCGTAGGTATTCTATGGAAGCTGGGCATGCTCAAGGCTGTCAGAAGACTTGCTGCCCCATCTGGAAAAGTGACTGTTGTCTAAATTGTGAGCAGAGACGCCCATTGCATGTCAGATTTCTTCCCCAGATTTGCCCTGAGGGCAACACAAGCTTTTAAGGTACCACTTGAGAAAAAGGTAGTCAAGCCTGATCTCCAGAGGGGGTATATGAGCTTCAATTTCCATGGATGAAATGGGAGATGTATTATGGGCACAAAGGACAATTCTCAGTGCACTAGACTGTATTATTTTTAGCTTTTGTGTCTGTTTTACAGAGACGTCACCAATGTTAAATAGGATACTGCCGTACTCAAGTTTGCTGCAGATGAAGCTGATGTACACTTGCCTAAGCAGGCGCCTTGAAGCACCCCAGCTGCTGCCAGAGATGGCACGTAATGGTGCCAGTCTGCGGAGACCTTCATTCTTCAGATGAGAAATGTGTGCATGGAACTTAAATTTTGGAGCATCAAAAAGAACACCCAGAACCCTTTGCACAGGCACGCTGCTGATTGGTTGGTCTGAAATAAGTACGCTTACTGGTATGATGCGTTTTTGAGTGAAGAGCTGGAGTGAGCATTTTAACTGCCATTTTTTGAGCCACTCGCTTAGTGTATTTAGATAGCATTGCATCACATTCTGGGCAGTTGCCACAGAACTGGAGACAACAGCCAATGTAATATCATCTGCATATGATAGGACTTTTACTTGAGGGGATCTTGGCAGGTCACTCAGCAATGCATTATATTGAAAAGTGTGGGTGAGAGCACAGCACCTTGGGGAAGACCTCTGCCCAGGTTCCGGCTCAAAGAATGGCATTCCCCAATTTGTACAGAGGTGGTTCTGTCTTTCAGGTAGTTGGGAGTCCAGCTGTAGGGTGATCATCTTATAGAGAAGTCCATAGTGCCACATGCAGTCAAAAGCACCCTGAATATCTAGATAAGCAACCAAGGTGTATCTTCCATCCACTGCTGCCTGTCTGATAGTATGGGTTAGTACGGCCAAAAGATCAATGGTACTTCTGCCATGACGATATCCTGTTTGAGTGGGAGGCAGTGCATGGTTGATTTCAATGTGGTGTTCTATCTTTTTTGTACAATTCTTTCCATGAGTTTGCCAATGCATGATAGCAGCGTTATGAGTCAGTAAGATTTGACCTGGCTTGGATCCTTGCCTGGCTTTAATATTGGGCAGATGACACCCTGCTTCCAAGCAGTTGGGACTGTTCCGCTGAAAAAGCTGGTATTGTATAGGTTGAGAAGCTTCATTTTTATATAGTCTGGGCTCCTGGAGAGAAAGATGTTAGCAATAAGATCACTGCCAGGTGTTGTATTCCTCAAGGACTGAAAGCTTTTATGAAGCTCATAGAAGCTGATTTCAGGACACTGCATCTCAACAGTATGTGCCACAAAACTCTCCACTCTGTCATTCACCTCCCTGTCAGCTGCTTGGTCGTCAAAAGAAGCAAAGCCGCTGGTAAAGTGCTTGAGAAAAAGTTAGGCAATTTCTCGATTTGGAGCAGTATGTTTTCCAATTGGAAAATTCCTGGAGTAATGCTTCCCACCAATGCTCTTGATAGTATGCCACACCTTGGAGGTGGCTGTTGTGCTGCCCAGGGTCTCGGTGAACTTAGTCCAGCTCTCCCTTTTCTTCTTTAGAGCCAGGTGTTTTGCAACTGCAACATCTTTTGTAATGAATCAAATTTGAAAGGGTTGGGTGACTCCAGTTTGTTCTTGGCTTTTCTTCTGTTTTTAACAGCCGCTTCACACTCCTGATCCCACCGTGGGGTCTTTCAATGTCTTTGGTATGCATTCTTTG